CATTGGTTGTGCTGTTCTTTTTAAATCTCTTTGCAGGTGATGAAGCAGACTGAAAATGTTTTATCATTATCTCCCTTTTATCTCCTCTTTCTATCATCCTTTCTCCTTTTTTTCAGTTTTTCCTTTCCTGTTCTACTTACATGGCAGTGTCCATATAATCTGTAAAACTCCCTGCATAATTATAATAAAGAAATTTATATGCCTAAAACAAGCGGAACACTATGGAGATAGCCGTACTGCTCCACTTGTGAAAGTAAAATATGTTGGGCTCTTATTGGCATCAAGACAATTATTCTTATTGCCACATTGCCAGACAGGACACTGTAAAAAAAAAAAAAAAAAAGTCTAGTCAACCAAAACTTTCGCGAGCCCCATGCAGTACCTCCGTGGACCACCTAGGGGTCGCGGACCCCCTGTCTAAGACCCTCGCTTTATGTCATAAAGTAAAAGCCAAGCCTAAAAATAATAAGCCTGGCACACTGAGCTTAAGAATAATATTTAATTTTCCTAAAAGAAGGAAATGAGACAGACATGCCTTTAGATCAGAGGTCTTCAACAGGGGGTCCGCGGAGGTATTGCATGGGGGTTGCGAAAGTCTTGAGGTTGATTACTTTTTTTTATATTCCCTCCTGCAATTTTTTGCACTAATTAAAATGTCTTTAAATACACATTAACATGAATTCAACACACTGTAGTAAACAGATAAATGGAGCAGAAGATGTCTTTCAGTCATCAATGCAAACATTCAGCGACACACAGGAGCTCTTTCAAGCTGGACACCGTTTCATTCACAACACCTGTCCTATCAACCAGGAATCAGAATCAGAAATACTTTAATAATCCCAGGGAGAAATTACTTTCGTTACATGACTCCATATGTAATAGAGTGACTATAGGACCAGTTTGATATAACACAATTTCATACAATATATATAATTAGGAGGTCCCCGCTCCATCTCGCAATCAGTTTGGGGTCCTTGGCCTCGAAAAGTTGAAGACCCCTGCTTTAGATATTGGGAAATTTGTAAAGACAGAAAATATTAAGACACACACACACATACTTGGCATAAAAACAACTTGTAGGAAATTGTTAAGGCCCTTCTAATTAATCAAAAGAATGTGGCAATCATAATGTCAGTCATGTGTTGGTTTCTTAATTTTTTACAAACGTACAAATCATAGAGGAAGTGGCTTAGAAAATTAATGTTCATTTAGTTGTTTTACTGACAGGACCCAGCAGTTTGCTTATCGCCATGGAGTTGAGGTTGATGATGCCATATTACACCTGCTTCAACAAACTTACTGCCATTTAGACAAGGCAAACAGCACTGTGACAATGATTTTTTTTATTTCTCTAGTGCATTTAAGACAATTCACCCTAACTTTCTTTGTGAGAAACTTCAGAAGTCTCAGGTGGAGGCATCAACAATCACCTGGATCAAAGGCTACCTAAAAACAGACCACATTTTGTTTCACTTCTACAAGAAGGGGCAGAGCAGACTGTACTTCCTAAGGAAACTGCTGTCATCATATTTTGGAAGTCGGTTGGAGAGTAACTTCTGCCATCATCTGCTTGGGGTTACAGCATCAGAGCGAATGACTTTTAAAAAAAAGCTCAACAAGCTGATAAGGAAGGCCAGCTCTGTTCTAAGAACTCCTCTGGAGATTATTTCACAGAATATCAACACTAGGGTTGTCACAATACTAAACTTTTCAACTCGATACCGATACTAAGGAAAATATTCGATACTCGATACCATTTTCGATACCACAAGGATAAAAACAAAGCCTCCAAAATTCTACAGAAAAATTGTCATTAATAAATTAAATACAACAAATAAATACAATAAACAATAAGAACAATATTTTGAGGTTGTATGCTGTGCACAATATTAGGCAAGCTTGATAAAAAACTTATAAAATTAAAATTAAGTTTTCCTTCCTTGGCTATGCTTTGCACACATAACAATGACACTAGCCAAACCGGTTAAGAAGCAAAAATAATTCTCAGCAGGTGCACCTGTTACAAAAAAAGTCTGAAACTGAAAAGAGCACAGAATTATTCAATCACACAGTGTTCAGAAAGTGCATTTTCCTCTATTCTGCACTTTAGATGCACTTTAGATGCCACTGGTGGTAGCACTGTATTGATACTTTTGAAAATGAGTATTGTATCCGGATACAACGTTTCAGTATCGATACTTTTTTGAGTATCGATACTTTTGACAACCCTAATCAACACCTACAGCTATCAACACCTACAAAAACAACAACATATGAGTTACTGCACTACTTAATTTCCCATTGGGATCAATAATGCATTTTTAAATAGAATTTTGTTTTATTTACTTTGAACATGTTTCAATACAGCAAGATTTTAAGTAAATAATCAGCAACAATCATTTTCTTTACAATAGTCTGATATGTTCATATGTTCTTGGTGCCTTCTACAAAAAAAGTAGGAATGAGGGAAAAAGAACTCAGTATTTTAGAAAAGTATTCCCAAACAACATGTTTTTTTCAGATCCCCCCCAAAGTTTTCATTAATACATTATTATAACAGGTTAATGTTAAACTGTTAATAGCTTGGTTTAATGAATCTGATACACCTTTACTGCTTTTTTTTTTTTTTTTTTGGAACAAAATAATTTTAGATTAAAGTATTAAAAACTGTAAACAATAAAAAAATGTAAAAACAATTTAGAGAAATCAGTAAATTAGGAAATACTATAAGAATATGTTAAAATTCAATTGCTACTTTTACTAAAGTCATTGTCCAAACCTTTTTTCCCCCCAACAAAGGTGCTGTTTGGTAAAAAGGTCATTCGCAATAAAGCAGCCTGAGAGAAACTGACCCCTTTAGCCAGTCAGGAATACAACCATCACAGAGCGAGTCAAACGTACTTGTAGTGTGCAGTCTTTGTGATCCTTCTGATGTCTCCACTGCATTGGATGGATTGATCTGTTTTAATAAAGGCCCAGTGAAAGATGCACCATCAATATGAGCACATCAGGAAGTAGCCTGTATGTGGGACAAAGGCGATGAATACTGAATGTTTACGCTTCTAGATTTTCTTCCTTTATGTTTTACAAGCCAGTGGACCTCATTTACTATATGTGATTTGGAATAAGCAGTAGTAAGATGCGCTGATTTACTTTAGCAGTGGGTTCCTATTATTTGCTTTTTACAAATGAGTTGGTCACAAAAACAGTTTTCAGTTTCAATACACAGCCCCTTGCACATTTTCCCACAATACAGCCACAAGCACAGTTAAGGCAAGTAACTACATCAATGTTCTTTACAGCTCTATCAATATTGCACATTTAGACAGAAACTTTTTTTTACCTTTACACCAAATAGATTTAGCTCAGACACATTAGGGATGAGGAGCATTTGTGAACATTCATTTTCCAAGTATTGTCACAGATTTTCTATTTGATTTACCTGATTTTTCCTGGGCTTTTCTGATACAAGAATGTGCATGTCTGTAAATAATTGCACATTCGCTTTCACAGTATGTTTAGAGTGGTTGCCAAGCTAAAAAAAACTGCCCCGGTTTTAGGTCTCCTGCTGCCTCTGACTGGTTTTATTCTAGGATTGCCCAGGATCACATGTCACACCATGTCTCCTGTTAGATTAGATGAACAATCATGTCCTAAAGTTAGTATTGTGCCATTACCCAAATTTCCTTTAAGATTTCAGAGTGCCCTAAAAGGTTCCCAAACATTTCAGCCTTCGACCTACAAAATGGTATAAGGCTTGACTCGGAAGCCAAATTGGAGGTTGACTATAAAATGTTTGTACAAAATCAATTAACCTGGGGTTTAATAATATTACAAGTGACGCTTTTACATATACAGCGGTCTCAAAAGTACACACATGTTACTTTAGTAGTATAGATACTGCAGTTTAGAAACACTCTGGTAAAAGTTGAAGTATCAACTTGACCTCTTTACTCAAGTAAAAGTGAAAAAGTATGTGCTCCAAAAACTACTTAAAGTATAAAAGTATAAAGTAACCTTTAAAAAAATAAAACAGCCAGATGCCACTATATGAATTGAAACCTACATTTTTCAACCATTTCGAGAAATTCTTTGAGATAGGACCAAGGATGAGGGAGGTCTTGTTGGTCTCCGTCTCCCGATACGCTCTCGCCACGCTCTCGCCTGTGTCCGACCTTTCAAACATTTCAACATCTTTTTCTGAATCCAACATTGTAGCATGGCATAGACAATTCACATTTACAGTTTGAAGAACACCTGCTTGCTTCTGATGATTTCCTTTAGCTAACCAATGAGTGTTTGCGTTATATGACTCATCCAATTACACTAGTTTTCACTAGATGTGGATGGCGCCAATGATCTGCAATGGATGGTGCACATGACGTGAAATACATTTTTAGAAACATTAAACTGAAGGCAAGCAAATAAAAAGTACAGATACTTGTGTGAAAATGTAATGAGTAGAAGTCAGAAGTAGGAAGAAAAATAAGTAATGGAGTAAAGTATAGATGCCTAAAAAGTGCACTTAAGTACAGTAACAAAGTATTTGTACTTTGTTACTTGACACCTCTGTACATATTTAAGCACTTATATATATTTATTTTTCAGTTAAATTTTTATGGTGGATCTAGAGACCCCATCTTGGTTGATGACAGATCCCAAATGAACTCACTGGCCTCACTTTGGAAATCTTTACTCCATGAGATGTTTATATATATATATATATATATATATATATATATATATATATATATATATATATACAGTAACTTTTATCTTGTTATATTTTTAGTACTACCGTTATTTTTAACACTGCTGGCATCTAATCATAAACATCATAAACAATGGAATCATAAACAACGACAATATATAAAAATAGCAGGTAAAGCCTAGGCTGACAAAACTATCCAAATCCAGAAGTAAATGTTTTTTTTTTCAATACATAAGACACATATATGAGCGCTGCTTTTGTTTTTTGGCTTCGTCTAAACTTGTCCAGAGTCCGTGTCCACGGTAACCCGTTTCCGTGGCAACCATGGGGCGCACCAACACCAGCCGGAAACGCAGACGCGGACGATGTAAATGCGGGTAAACTACTAAAATAACATTTAAAGCTTTGGATTTTTTTTTTTTTTTTTTTTTTTTTTTTTTTTTTTTTTTAGCTATCAGTTTTTTAGCCCGACATGTAAACGTTTTTTCAGACGTTAATGTCGGAACATTTGTCAGTTATGTACCAAAAAATAAACCCCAGACATAAAAGTCTTATTTAATAATGGAGTTTTGTTTCTCCCTCTGGCTTTACCTGTGAAGTTCTACAGCAGCTATTCTGTTTTTTTTTTCTTGCAGAAAAGTTTCCCCTAAAGCTCCACCTGGTGGGCCAGCATTGCCAGATGTGGCTGAGAGTTCAGAGATGCCAGAGGTGAGATAGACACAAAAGTAAAAGCTACTTATTTTATCTTTTGCTTGATTTTTGTTGTTTTTTTATATACATATACAAGAAAAAGTATATCAGCCCTATAGTCATTAATGCATCAATCTTTTGATCCCTTATTGGATTTCTTCATCCATGCATTCAGCTGTGTGTTTATCTCAGCATGCTGTTTGCAGGGCTCATATTTAAGGCATGGTTGCTTAAAAAATATCCGCCATAATACAATGTTTCATTTTTATTCTAAAAAAAAAATGTCTGGAATCCTAAAAACCATTGCATTTTCACTTTAAAAAAAAAGGAACCATGTAAAATACATCACATCATTACGACAATCAAATGTGTGTAATGAATGTTATAAAACAAATAATTGCTCTTGGATTTCCAAAGCTAGGTAATAAAATAGAAGAAATCCTTTAATCGTTTCCAACAGGAGCAGCAGGGCTTCCATGTGAAGTGCTTTTACAGTGATCTGCCTGCTATCCAGGCCCTCCTAGAGTCCAGGGAGTGGCTGATCAATAGCAGTGATTCTCACGGTCGTCGCCCCCTGCACATGGTCCTGTCCTCACGTGGCGCCTCAAACACCTGCCTCAGATACCTACTGGAGCATGGAGCTGATGTAAACGCGTAGGCGCCTTTCTTAAAGAAATATTCTTTCATTTAATATCAAACACTTTGTGAAATTTCTACCAGCAATGTATAGATAAAAGAAATTGGATAAACAATGTTTTATTCCCAATTAGCACTACAGTTTTAGGGCAGACCCCTCTGCACTTTGCTGCCTCAGAGGGCCTGCTTGAGAGCACAGAAATCCTTGTGAAAGCCGGAGCAGATCTTTTGGCGAAGGACAAAATGGGGCTCAACCCTCTGGACATGGCCCACATCTGGTGCCACAGGAAAGTAGCAAGGTACCCAGCTAAAGCAATCACCCAGCTCCAAAATGCAAGCAGCTCAAACATTTATTTAGTTTTTTAAAGCTCTTATGTGTTCAGGTACTTAAAGCACAGCATGTGGCATTGTGAGAAGAAGAAAGAAATGGAGGAGATAAAGCTGACTCATGTTTTATACCGAGATCTCATCAATAAGGTCAAGCAGGATCATCTGGTCAAAAAGGTGAGCAAATTACTTAAAATTTCCAACAAAACAGCACAGACTTTATGTTTTATTTGGACATTGTTTAATAGAAATATGCAGTGTTGCGAAATTCCTTTAAGCAAGTGTTAAATGGTCTGTGTGTAATATAAATATAGTCAGTATAATTCCAGCTGCTAATTGCCCCAGATGTTTATTGGAGAACATTAGTTAAACAGCATCATGAAGACCAAGGAACACAGTAGATTGGTCAGAAAGGAAGATCTAGTGAAGCTAAAAATCAGGATTAGGTTAATGAACAATTTTTAACTGTAGACAAAGAATTTAAAAGTACAACAGGAGCAACACAAACATGGTTCTATAAGACAAAATCCTTATAAAATACTTTTGAGTTGGTGTTTTTTAAGCCGAAAACAGTTTAACAACGTTCATGTAAACATTAACTACAGAGGCCATTTCTCTTTTTTATTTTATAGACTCGTAACCATGACAAGATGGAAGAGTGGGCGAAGAAGAAAGGCTTTCCTCCTTTAAAGGAGCTCCCCCCGAAAACCCCGGTGTCCAAATACCACGATCGGTGTGTTTTACCACCTACTAAGAGCCAGTCACAAGGCCTTCAGAAAAACAAGGTTATCTCCATAACAACGCAACCCACAGCCTCAACAAACATCCCCCGGACCGTCTTCATCAGCCCCCAGCATGAGAAACCCTCTGTAGAGCCAGATCTCAGGGAAAGTGTAACCGTGTGGGAGAACAGCAGCAGCCACAGGCTTCAGTATATCACCAAGTGGGACACAGAGCCACAGCCGACCCCCAAAGCACCGAGAGATGTTGTCGAAAGAGTGTTATTTCCCAAAGCCTTCCCTTCTAGGATGGCCACGCCTCTGGGCTTTAAGCCACAGAACATCGAGGAAGTCCAGCACCGAGGACATCCCCAGGGGAGGAACACCTCTCCCTGGACTGAGGTGGCTATGCACCTGGCTGAGGTCCTGGAGCCGGGGCACTATTGAGCTTACGCATTCCAGGGCAATATAATCAGGTTTAAAGGGGAAAAAAACAAAAAAAACAAAGGCATCAATATTTAACAGACATTTCTGAATAAGTAACTCCTTTACAGTGTAGACAATCTTCCTGGCAGCACAGACTTGATCAAGTATCTTTCAGAACGAGCACAAACATCCTGAAACCAGAGGATGAGGTCATAATGTGCACATCTGAGGTGCAAATGTGTTAAATAAGAAATATAATCTGACTTCTAAATACGTTTCAAATCATAATTATGACAACGAAAAATAATTTCCACACCTTTTCCAAATTTAAATTTGCATATCTTGTAAACTTCAAGGTGAAAAGCAAAACATTTAAGGGAAGAATACACTTTTCCATACTTTTTAACTTTCAGTGTTCATTAGTTTAGAGGTTGTTTCAGTGATATTTTTAGCTTTAATCAATCTGATATGCCTAAAATTAAGTTTTATTCACATTTGCATCCTTGAGCTAATGCTCAATGTTTGCAGTCAGGATAAAAAGTATTAGAATAAGCCCATCATAGAAAGATATGAGAAGTGGAAAAAATAGATGTACTAAATATAAAGCCAGCAAATAATAAATGCTGTCTGTAAAGCTGCAGCGATTCCTCACAACTACTCCTAGCGTTCGGCTCGTGAAAAATCTTTATTTACCACATTATTGAACTTAAGAGGAATTAGGATTATAGGACAAGTTTTCCAAGTCAAAGTTTACGGCTACAACGTTTTCAGCTTAATGAATAAAAAAAATACATCCACAGAACATCAAGAGTTGTGCAGAAACAAGTTTTCATTATAGAACAAAAAAAGTATATCAATAAATTTTTACTGGTCCAAAACATACAAGTACCCTCATACTACCCCTATATCTAAGCACTGATGGACTATTATGAACAAGAAACTCTGGAACTCTATCTTCCTACCATCTTATCCATATATAGTTCTGAACAAAGTAAAAGTGGTTCTTTTCAGAATTGTACATCTGCAATACTCTTCAAAATCAAATATGTGTGTTTTTTTCCCTATTTTAAGTAATAATTGTTCATTTTGTGGATTTGAGGGGGAAACTATTTAGCATTTTTGTTTATTGTGTCCGTGTCGCTTCTTTTTGGTTCCATTTGCAAAACTATATCTCTCAAAAAATAAATAAAAGATATTTTTCTGCACAAATTGGAAATACTCCTTATAATTACTAATGCAAATCTAACATAGCAAAATAATTAATTTAATAATCATTTTTGGCAAAGTATTATCTACTTGTAGAAGACCTCTAAGTTTATTTGTGCATTTTTAATTCATTTTGTTTTTATATTATCTTCTTTTCTCTTATGCTAACTTTACATGTAAGATTCAACTATTATTGTACTAAGTTGTATGTTGTCAATAAAGGTTTGTTAATAAAATAAATAAGTGAATAATAATAATAATAATAAACACTTAAATGTTTGCTAATGCTAGCTTAAGCGGACTTGTCAACCGGCTAAGTTTGAACAGAGGCTGGCGAGCCACAACGCACCACCTAGTGACAAAGCAGAGTTAACCTTTTAATGAGCTCCTTTAAATAGCCAAGACAGACAAAAATCTCCTAAAACCAATTAGCAAAAGTAAAGAAGATACCAAACTGGTGCTTTTGATTTACTCCAGGTTGGCCGATAATATAAGACATCACTGCCAATCCTCAAGCTGTAAAACACGATGGTGGTAGAGTTATGCTCTGTAGACATTTTCCAAATGGATGAAGCTTTTAGGAGTTCCAAACAACCGTAGGTTTTTTTACTCAAAATCCATCAGCTGTCTGCATTAAAACTAAAGATAAAGACAGGTTGGATTGTTTTTGCTTTGCTAGGTGTGTGACTATACATCCAGATCCAGGAAAGGGGGGCTTCATGAGCAGAAAAGGGTCGATGAAAGAAATAGTCAATTTCTGAAGATTCTGAGAACTTTCACAATAAAGCAGAAACTCGTGTAAAAGTCTGGAAGCTTAAATGTCATCCAAAGGTGCCTGAATTTGAATATGAATAAAGAATGAGCCCATGACGAAATGATTGCCTGGTTGAAACATACAGGATGTCTGTCACATGAAATGAAGAAAAATAAAAAATGTTGAAATGGTTCGTCGCCACCTTTGAAACTTGGAATGTGTTCAGGTGAGCCGCTGAACATCACAGTTTAATAAAATGTGCCAAAAGTGACAACCTTAAACGTGTCATACACTCCAGGTACCAGCTCAACAAAAGCAAGGCTGGCACACGATGGTGGAGGGGTGAGTGAAAGGTGAGAAAACCTCAGTGAACTGGGTCACCTGTCACAGATGTGTGCGCCTCCACTGATCCGCCGCAGGGATGTGAACCAGGACTCAGGTGAAGTCTTCTGGATCCAAACCTTAAGTCACAGCCTGTCGGCTGAAGGCGTTTGGTGTGGTCATCTTCCTCCTTTACTTCATGAAGCATTTCACACCTCAGACAGGGTCAGAGGGCACACCACCATGAACCTGGTGCTCCCCCTAAGGCCCGGTCACCTCAAATAATCAGAATATTTTCTAACCCCTCGTTTCATTGAAACATCAACAGCTAAATCCAAATTTTATTTTCCATAAAAGTTTTTATTTCACAGCTGTGTGCATAGCAACCTATGATGAATCCTGCGAACATTCTCATCTGCTGTAGTGTTGCCGTCATAAAGCTAAACTGTGCAGTTTTCATCTCCCGGCATCTTTCACCCTACAAACATCATTTCACAGGTTTGATCTTCAGTTTTTACATTTGTCTCTCATGTCATATTTAACCTTAGATACAAAAAAAAAAAAACGTTGACAGTTAAAGATTAAGAGAGGGAGGTAGCCACCAGTCAGTGCTATTGAGTGGTTAAAGAGTTAAAGCGAATCGTAGCATTGAGACCAGATTCATAGAGTGTTGCCATTTCGCTGTAACCTGCTTAACCTCCGAGTAGCAGTTTATATTCATTAGTAAAGAATTTAAAAGTTTTAAGTAAGCTACTAGACTCTTATAACAATTGATATTATTATCAAGAATAACTAGAAGCAACCCTTCTGCCAGTAGATAAAGGTCTTTTGAGTCACATAAACGCACCTTACAACAAATAAAACGTGATGGAAACAAACTCCCTAAATTTGTAAAACGAAACACTCTAGGGGTAAGAATGGATTCCTATTGGAAAAGAAATGCAAATTATGAGTCCAAAACATCCCAAAAGAAGGCAAGTATCTGTTCATGTTCTGAGTAATGACGGTTTGAGACTTCCCTAAAGAGTGTGAGATATTGGTTAATGTTTCAGACGCTGCCTTCAAGTGTTCAAAACAAAACTGTAAGATGGGAAATGGCAGAGCAGAAAAATTACCGACAACAGGTTTAACTGATCCAGAGCAATGGAACGCACTGAAATTAAGACATAAAATAAGAGTTTCTTTCACCAGATTTAAAGGAAGTACACTTACCACCAACCAAACTCACCATATCCATCTTAACAGACTTTAAACTCCTCCTTCAAAGTGATTCATTTAAGGATTTTCGGCTTCCGCACGTTGGCTCTCTGTAATCTACCCCTCATTAAATGGAAACATTTTTATCCCTCCTACATGGCTTTTCTGCTACCTTAAACACGTAATCAGACAAACGCAAAAACAACAGAAGAAATCTTTAAGAGGAAATCCAACAATGATTTATCCATCCCAGCCAACATTTTCAGTTTGTCAGTTATTGTTTCAAATCACACATACATTGCCTCAAGCTTAAAAAATTATTGTGATGATACAAAAATCACTGCGCTACTGTCAGGACTGTAGATGTTGTTGGCAGTTGGAACAAACCCAAAGATGAACGTTGGTTTTGTAAACTCAATCATCCAGTCTGTTCGTTGGTCCGTCCTTTTTGTGCGTTTTCCCCCCCTTGTTGTTTTGGCTGCTGCTTTGCTTTTAGTCAATTCCACCAAAAAACTGTCCACCGTCCTTCCTGCATTACCATTCCATGTCCAACTTCTCATCACACCGACTCATCCCCAGCCCAGAGTCTGCACCCCCGAGTCCTTCAGTACATTTTCTGTCGACTGGGAAGTACCGCCTCCTTGAGGAAGGAGAATACAAGAAGGATCCCGGACCTCTTGCCTCGCTTTCCCTTGGTGAAATAATTAGACACCACATCATCTGGAAAAAGAAAAAGGAATAAAGACAAAGATAAAACATTTCAAAAGGAAGGGATAATAAATAAATTGATATCAAATGGGTAAAAATATGGATGTAAATCTTTTAGCGCAACTTTATTGTTAATGTAACAATTTAAGGTTCAAATTTAAAGTCATATTTAGTCAAAATTACAACAATTCACATTGTGACAAATAGGGGGAAACCAGAAAACAACATTTTTATTTCAAATACAATACCGATATCGCAACTTGGAGTGCTGACCAATTATTGACTATTATAACAGCATTATTTCTACAGGCTTTTATTAGCTATGCCAAGGAAGTTATGTGTTTAGTAGAATTTGTGTATGTCTGTTTTTTTTGTCTGTCTGAACAGCTTTTAATGATTTTTTTTTTTCTAAATGTGCACCTTAGTCTAAAAAAAACAATCCATAAAATTTAAGTGGTGACCCACAGCATATTGCGGATGTAGAAAGTTTTTAAAGGATCGTTTAACGTTATTTGGCAGAACAAGCAGTTTCCCCCTAAACCAGAGTGGCAGCAGTGACTATTGACTAGGGATGGGGATCGTTAATATTTATTGATATCGATACCTTTATCGATACTCCTTATCGATCCGAGTCTTTATCGATACCACTATCGATACTTTTCTGTTATTTGGTGGAAAGACGATGCAACAATATTTTTTTTAACAGAACTGGTATTGCTTTTATTGCTTAACAAGTGAGCATAACAAAAACGTTTCTAGCCTTCAATAAACATGGCTAATGTAATGGGCCACTTCGAAATGACATAAAACTAACTAGAATATATTTTCACAATTGTTGGTTAATGTATTGTCTACTGTCACTTTTCATCATGTTTTTAGTGATTAGGAAAATATTTAGCAAATAACTAATTGCATTTTAAATTAAATGTAATTTTTAATAAATGTTGGCATCAGTAGTTTAATTATATATTCTAAAATAGTTAGAGCAATATACAACTGTATTACTCATGTTTCTCGCCAAAAACTCAATTTCCCTTTTCTTTACGTTACACTTGAACGCATCATGATAACCTAATTGTCGTTTTACTGAGCCAATCTGAACACATCATCACGCAGCACGTCTGAAACTATTTACTTTTCAAGCTAACTAGCTTGTATGCTGCCGATTACAAGACGGATTTCACAATTACTGTTTTTAACTGACCGGACAAGCTACAAAGTCTGTGTGCGCGCTTAGCAGTGGTACTCTGAGTGGATGATGAAGACGGGCCCGAATGTGGTGCGGCGGCAGCCGCAGGAGGAGGAGTCTTTTCCGTTCAGCCATTCTCGAATCGCGAGCAAAGTTAACTGCCAGACTTCACTTGTTTTACTTTTAATATCTGTTTGCTTACAATTTAATTCCAAAACATTGGTGGACATGCTGCAGTGATTGGATTGATTAGATTTAAATGCTGTGACGCGACTCGAGGGAGACACAATTATGTTACAGGACCTCCGGGAGAAAAAAAAAACGACCAGACTCGATAGTGGTATCGATAAGCCCAAACGTTATTGATTTTCGGGTTTTGAAAAAAGTGGAACCGGGTCCTTGATGGAACCGGGTTTCGATCCCCATCCCTACTATTGACGGCTTCAGCATCGGACTCAAAAAGTAAAAAGTCTTACACTGAAGCTAAAAACGCAGCAAAGTTCAACCATGTCTAACTCGAACTCTAGTGCAGAGGGATTGAAAGAAGTTGGAGCAGAACAAACACCAGAGGCTGCAGACGCATGCTGTGCCTTATTTATCAACTTATAAAAGGATTTTAAAGACATTTTTACCAAAGGTGCACATCATGCCAAGGAACAATTCATTAAAATCGGGCAATGTTCCAGATCATTTGATGGTTTTAGCTTTAGATGTAAGTCACGTTTGAGGTCTGCTCTCTCTGAGTGCTTTTCTTGATTTTTAGTATGGAATGATAGAAAAGCCTCGATCATTTGATATTTCCCAAACAGCGAATAATACTCAACAACTGTCCCATTTCTTATTTGCCAAAGAGTTACATAAACTATAAACCAATGCATACAGAAGCAAAGTGTCTCTATAAGCTTTCTAATAGAGATTTTAGAGGCTGTTATCCATTTTCTGGCTAATATCTGACCATTTCCAACATCAATCCTTATTGACAACCATAGATTTTTGCCCACACACCTCTGGACAATGGAGCTCTAAAAAAAGCCTTTAAAAAACATTCCTCTCATCAGCACAAATGATGTATGCTTGTTGGTGACAAGAAGTTAATTTCTATAAGAAAACAGAACAAAGGTGCAAACTCTTCTCTTGGTTACAGAGATGCAAGTTATCGATTAATTAATTAATCTAAAGTTGATCAATCCTATTGATCAACTAACAATTAAATAGCAATTTTCTTCAAATTTTGCGTTTTCTCTCAGGGGATCTTTCCACAACATGAAGAGATAAAACTTTATTCAAAATATGCTAAATTAAAAAAAAAGTACACCATATTTTAAACATTTAACGTGCCAGTTGTATAAACTACTGAGTGAGTAAGCAAAAAGTGTTCTTACACATGGTTCAAATTATCTATAAGTTAACAAAACATATTAGGTAACTGCATAAAAAAAATGATCAAATATGTGATATACTCCTGTTATCCAATCTACAGACACATAAAAGTATCAATAAAAGACAGGATAATTCACTGAAATGCTGTTAGACTATTTTTTATGTGCAACAATCTGGGGGGAGAGACTTTGTGTTGTTAGCAGCACTTTTAAACAGGCTGTTCTGGTTGCTCTCAGAGGATTGTTAAAGATCGAAGCTTTGACGTGAATTAAATCACAAAAGCTTTTCCAATTTATCTTGCTTGTTGCTAGAATGTCTTCTTCTATCATGTAACAATTTTTTTGTGATGCGTCCTTCACTTTTTATCATTACATCCTCTCCTTTTAGCACAGCAGAGACTTTGAACACTATTTAGATAATAACTTTTGGAGTTTATATTTACAAAAGAACAGCATTAATTGAATTCTGCATCCTTATCACACTAAAACTGTGCAAAAATAATCCCAGACCCGATTCTTACCATTCGTCTCTCAGCTCTGCTTAAGAATGATGATCACTACACAGTGGACATTAACAATTCATTGGATGGAATAAAAATGTAAATAAAATAAATCGTTGATCTTAGGTTGATTATTTGTTGGGCTGCAACTAACGATTATTTTGCAAAATGATTAATCTATCGATTATATTTTGATTAATTAATTAATAATCGGATAGACAAGGATTAGAGAAGACTTTTTATTAAATTATAACCGGAGTTCTACATAGAGTGTATTCACAGGCAGAAAAGGTTTTTATCATCTTAAATGCAAAATGTTTATTTATTTATTTATATATATATATATATATATATATATATATATATATATATATATATATATATATATATATATATATATATACACACTCGCCGGCCAGTTTATTAGGTACACCTGTCCAACTGCTCGTTAACACATAATTTCTAAGTAGCCAATCACATGGCGGCAACTCAGTGCATTTAGGCATGTAGACATGGTCAAGACAATCTCCTGCAGTTCAAACCGAGCATCAGTATGGGGAAGAAAGGTGATTTGAGTGACTTAGAACGTGGCATGATTGTTGGTGCCAGAAGGGCTGGTCTGAGTATTTCAGAAACTGCTGATCTACTGGGATTTTCACGCACAACCATCTCTAGGGTTTACAGAGAATGGTCCGAAAAAGAAAAAACATCCAGTGAGCGGCAGTTCTGTGGGCGGAAATGCCTTGTTGATGCCAGAGGTCAGAGGAGAATGGCCAGACTGGGTCGAGCTGATAGAAGGGCAACAGTGACTCAAATAACCACCCGTTACAACCAAGGTGGGCAGAAGAGCATCTCTGAACGCACAGTACGTCGAACTTTGAGGCAGATGGGCTACAGCAGCAGAAGACCACACCGGGTGCCACTCCTTTCAGCTAAGAACAGGAAACTGAGGCTACAATTTGCACAAGCTCATGGAAATTGGACAATAGAAGATTGGAAAAACGTTGCCTGGTCTGATGAGTCTCGATTTCTGCTGCGACATTCGGATGGTAGGGTCAGAATTTGGCATCTACAACATGAAAGCATGGATCCATCCTGCCTTGTATCAATGGTTCAGGCTGGTGGTGGTGGTGTCATGGTGTGGGGAATATTTTCTTGGCACTCTTTGGGCCCCTTGGTACCAATTGAGCATCGTTGCAACGCCACAGCCTACCTGAGTATTGTTGCTGACCATGTCCATCTCTTTATGACAACAATGTACCCAACTTCTGATGGCTACTTTCAGCAGGATAATGCGCCATGTCATAAAGCTGGAATCATCTCAGACTGGTTTCTTGAACATGACAATGAGTTCACTGTACTCAAATGGCCTCCACAGTCACCAGATCTCAATCCAATAGAGCATCTGTGGGATGTGGTGGAACGGGAGATTCGCATCATGGATGTGCAGCCAACAAATCTGCGGCAACTGTATGATGCCATCATGTCAATATGGACCAAACTCCCTGAGGAATGCTTCCAGCACCTTGTTGACTCTATGCCACTAAGAATTGAGGCAGTTCTGAAGGCAAAAGGGGGTCCAACCCGTTACTAGCATGGTACCTAATAAAGTGGCCGGTGAGTGTATGTATATATATATATATATATATATATATATATATATATATATATATATATATATATATATATATATATATATATATATATAAATCTATATATTTATTTATTTATTGTTTTTCAAGGTTTGGTTGCTCTGTCAGCATAAGGCATGTTTGAGAGTCTCTTTACTCCAGTTAAGGATTAATTGATTATTAAATTAGTTGACAATTATTTGAATAATTGATTAATCCGATTAATTGTTTCAGTCCTAATTATTTGTTTGCATCCCTACTTGGTAATGTCTCATGCATCACTCTGCCATGTTAAACTATAAACACCTGTGTGGCTAACTTTCATTTGATTTGATTTTCTGGATAACTCTCACCTCCTTGCTGCATGGTGGATGGAAGCACATTTTCTCCTGCCGATAGTGACACAAAGAAGGCAAAGGGGATGACCCAGAGGCAGATGGTGAAGTATGACAGCACCTGAAACCAGTCAACAAAAGAAAAAAACAGCACAGTTGGACACAAAACGCACTTCCAGCATTTAGAGCTATGATGAAAAGGCAAAGGAAGGAATTGAATACCTCTGAAAAAGGGTAATATTCTTGTGCAAAGTATTGGAAGGCCATGTAATGGTTCGCCACCACTAACACTTAAGTATAACGAAAAAAGAAAAGTTAAATCATGACCAGATGGGAAATATCAATCTAAAATGAAATATTCTTTTATTTTGTATACTTGTTGCAGTTTATAAAAGAGAAGTAATAAAACTTGAACAAAGTGTTTCTTACTCACCACAGGAGAGGATGAAGTTGGGGGAGCTCAGCAGTATGTAGGGAAAGGTTCGCAGGAGGCCAAAATACACCAGGTTTGTAAAGAGGCCGACTACCACCATTAACAGAGGGAAGCCTTCAAAAACATAGAGACCCAGCAGCACACCTGTGGAGAACTGGACAGATTCACACACAATGAGAGTCCGCTCTGCATACCTGGAAACTAAAATGTACAGCAAACACCTATAAGATGCATCAGGTTCAACCTGCATACTCACCAAGATCATGTACTTTATTATTCGACTTGTTACTACTGTGTACTCTTCTATTAGCTCTGCCAAGTAATACAGGCCAGCCGCTGGGGGAAATAAAATGGAAATAACTTTAAAAAGAGCACTAAACATGTCTTATATCTGATTAGAAAAGAGGTGGCACTTCTAGAGCAAAGATCAGGGGCTATAGACAGTATCTGGGCATCATGAGTAAATCAATATGTAACAGGCAGTTTCTGGAGCATCTAAAAGTCAGTCAAAACAGCTGAAGTCAACAAACGAGGAGGGTGGGTTTGTGATGCAGAAAACTTCATACAATTTATGTCTAATACAAGCCAGATTATTGAAAATCAAATCATTTTAGTCACAGAGATGAGTGATGTAGACTTTGAGTTTTAATGGGATGTTTGATAGTATTCTCTCTAAAATCAAGTGATAAATGCAAGATTTGTATTTTTTTCTTGTAATAAAAGGCATTTACTGTCTTTCATTTCATTCAATAACATTTCTGAATAACTTGAAATATTCTAAGGGAAACGTAGTTCAGCACAGTATCTAATCCTTTATCTTAATTTCTCTCTGCTAATTTGCAACATATTTTTGATCAAAAACTTAAAATGACATCTTCCTGTATTTTAATCATGTAAAGCACTTTGCATTGTCTTTGTACTGAATTGTGCTGTACAAATAAATTTGCCTTGCCTTGACATGATTTTTCAAAATATCAAATTCTAATATCTGAAAGGCAAAACCTTCAACAAAAAGACTTTAAAGAAAGTGACAGAGGCATGTTGATAAACTGCAACTAGGAACTTTAAGTTCCCAGACACATCATAATGTGCTCTAAAGGGTTCATTTGGCACTTACACTAGTATTTTTTGTTTAATTGAATCTTTGATTCATTTATGATTTCATGAGTGGATCATTTTAGAACTAAATAGATATGACAATAAACTCTTAAATTTGCAAATATAAAATACGGAAGCTGTTCTAAGACAAATTCTGAATTTTTACTTTTAAAGTTATACCTGTCAGTTGGACCAGCTATTAAGTTTAAGGAGTTTGTCTTTTCCAATACAATGCATTTGTTATTAAGTAGGCAATTCTTTTTTTATTATTTGTTTCCACGTGTAAACAAACATTGATTTGAACTACTTGCACATCTGCCTTCATCTTTTAGATTGCTGCTGTAACTTTGATCTTTGCTTCATGTCGTAAAGTTGGAGTTTGTTCTGAATCATATGATTCGATTTACGATAATCCCATACAGAGACAAAAGAATACCGACAGCTACAAGATTAGTTTGTAATAAACTTCAGTATAAAGCGCAGCTGTGGCAAATCAACCTAGTAATGTGATAAATGAAACATTAACTTTGTTTTCTGAAGCCCCTCTGACATTTACCTGAGCTGATTCACCTGCTCGCTGCGTTAGCATTACTAAGCTAATTCTAGCTGCTATGTTTCTGCTGTGGGCTTTTTTTCCAGCTTTAACTTACCTATCGATAGTGTGACGAAAGATATCTGGACGACCAGCGACAGCCAGCTCAGTAAATAAATAAACCACATCTCTCTGCATATGATACGACACACACAAATAAGAGAATGAAGGCTAAAATAAGCTAGCTTGCTGCTAGCCTTGTCCAACAATCCTTCCGCTGTGTTTTCAGTAAGAGCCAACAACTGCGGTAAAGACGGAGATTCTTTGACAAGAAGTTAGCTGAGGTTCTGTTACAGCGCCACCTGCGGTCGGAGAGTAAATGTAATTCCGTCAAGTTACTTAAAGTATCCTCATTTTTTATTTTTTGTTCTATTGTTATTTATCTACGGAAGAGGATTAGGGCCACTGAAAAAAAGGTTAACTGATTTTTAAGTATTATTTCAGTTTAATATGGGAAAAAATTCTGAGATTAAAGTCGGAATTCTGAGAAAAAAGTAAAAATTCTGAGAAAAAAAGAATTCTGAGATTTAAGTCAGAATTGTGAGATTTAAGTCAGAATTCTGAGATTAAAGTCAGAATTCTGACTTTTTTCTTATATCATACAGAAATAAAATTGAAAAATAAGTTAACTTTTTAAATTTTTTCAGAGGCACTAATCCTCTTCCGTATTTATCTCTTTATTTTTTTAATTGGTTTGTATTTCTTGCTTCATAATCGTGATTTCTTGAATGTGTAGAAAACAACTGAACTGGACAATATGAAGAAAGTTTAACTGAGCTATACTTGGAGTATCTATTCCTATAAAAGAGATTGTGAGCAGAGTATGTAAGTTGAATGAACAATAATTTGTAGATAGCATTTTTCAGGGAGATAGTAGCTATGGTTATGCTTAATAGGATTGGTACAAGATATTATTAGAATAATTAACCTAGATATTATTGCAATAATTAACATAAGGGTAGATTAAAAAGTGAATGAAGCATAGGGTCAGACTTTTTATCCAGAAAATGGCATATTTTACTTATAATCCTGATGTCTCTAGAACTTTTAGATGAAATATTGCTAATGTAAGGCTTCCGGGACAATTAATTAGCAATTAATTCACCTAGAATTCTAACTATTGATGCTGGAGAAATTTCATTTTCGCTATCATCACCTTAAGATTTCTATTTTGATTCCTGTTTTAACACAATTAAACAACAAAAAATTCATTACTTTCAATACAGGGATAATGTATTTGAATGAAGCTTGCTTTTGATTGTTAATATCAGACTTTTAAGATTACTATTTAAAAAGAAAATAAGAGTTTATATAAATAATTAACATAAATCAAAAACAAAAGTGATCCAAAAATAGATCCTTGTGGGACTCCACATCAACTGAGGAGAGAGCCTTTAAGAGAATTTTTTTTCTTTTTTTTTTTTTTCTATGCTCGAATTGTTTGGTAAACCATAGGAGGAAAAACCAATCAATTTCAAATGTATTAAGAGTATCTCATACGCTATGGTGTCAAACACCTTGGATAAGTCAAGGAATAGCGCAGTTGAATATTGCTTCCTATCCTGAAGTCTGTATAGTTCCTCAGGTAGATAAGCAATAGCCATGTTAAAGGAAATCTCTGTTCACACCTTGAGGCTTTCTCTATCCGGGTCTTTCCCTGAGAAGAGATCACTCGGGACACACTCTTTAAATAACACGTCATAATGTATATGTGTTAAATAACCAGGAGACATGACAACAGATTTTGATAGAAATTGTAATCTCACTCCGATCAGAGAAGTTGCTTAGGGTTACAGAAGGTAATGGTTAGAGAACCATTTTATACATCTCCAGTCTTCCACATGATCACATCATTACATCATACACGTTTGCAGATGATGAGACATCCATGGCTCCAGCCTTATCAAAATATTACACTTTGTTCTTAGCTGAAGGACGCCGCTCCCATTCCATTCCCAAATCTTTGCCACATACAGAATGAAGATTATAACTGTATATTAGGACAGAGGAACTGTCTTAATTAAATAAACTAGATGTTAAAACATCAGTTCTGACACTCAACAGGCAGCTAATATAAAGGTTTAATAAACTCAACCATCATCAATGCTAATTATCCTAACAGCCATGTAGGCTGAATTGCTGTGATGGAAACCAAACTGATGTTCATATACACTAACATATTCTTCTTTTTGAGAAATTTGCCCAGTCTACTGTAGACAGCTTTTATAAGATTTTGGATATTAAAGATTGCATGGACATCAGATGATAGTTGTTAGCCATTCTAAATGCGTCTGCTTTAGAGCTGGGCTCCATCTCAGGAGCTTTAGACTCTTGTGAGCCAATACCCTTGTAACATGATGCAGGACTGGGCAACTCCGATCCTCAAGGGCGAGTATCCTGCAACCATTATGTTCATCCTTGGTCCGACACACCTGAATTAAATGGCTGATTTATCTCCTCAGTATGCATTTCATTTCTCCAAAGTTTTCTTATTAATTTAAATACTTGATTTAAATGTGTTGGATTAAGTGACACGTCTAAAGGTTTAAGGATATCAACCCTCGGGAAGTGAAATTGCCGACTCCTGAATGAAAGACATAACAGAGTTGTTAAGCACTTCTGTATACAATTTTTCCAAGAAGTCAAGTATCTAATCTGTCGTGATCAGACAATGTGTTTTAGGTGCACAATTATGTCATGTATCTCTTGTTCTGTAATTTTATTGAGACTCAAAGTTGAGTTGTTAGACTCCATATACTTGACTAAGTTCTTGTATACTTTGGGAATTTTTTCAGCTAAAGCTAGAACAATTTCAGTGGAATTTTCTTGAAATTTACAAACAATTTCTGTTGGGTCTAACATGAGCTTATCCCCAACTTTGAATTAGCGGCAAATGATTTCGTCCTGTTTATGATTTGCTTCATTGTAGACCACACATTTTCACAGTGCTTCTGATTTTGGGCAACTGTTCAGCATAACATTTTGTTTTTTGCAGACCTTACCTCATGGTTTAGTTTGATTCTATAATTATTATCCTTCTAAAATGTCTTGCAGTGGTAAATTAAATGTATTTTCTATACTGTTTTATTTACACTCGACAGATTTTACAATTCCTTTCATTTTGACCTTGAACTTAATCAGACTCGCAATGCGATTGTTTTTTTTCTTTCAGCGATTTTGTCACTTTAGGAGAAGAGTCATAGTGGTGTTCAGTGGATTTCTCTATTATTATAGAATAAGCCTGTTGAGGATCATTATTGTAGGATATATCAACCCTGTAAATGTGTTGGATTTTGGTTTTGAACCTTTAAATAATTAGCTGGTTAATGAGTCTATGAGTGACTGACTGCTCATTAGATGTATTGGTGCTTATTGGGACAGATATATTTTAAAAAGATAAATACGTTGATGATCAGACATATCAGAACAGAAAACTAAAAAAATATATATCTTTGTCAAGTACATTGGGAAAAAAATGTGCCTATTAATGTTGCAAATTTATATTTATTCTTTTGGTTTTGTGGATAAAAAGTTTAAAATAGAAACTGGAAAGTATGTCTAGAAAGGACTAGTTTGAGCATCACAATCTACATTCATCATATTTATGTTGAATTCACCCATGAGGAAATATTCATGTGAAGCTTTAGAAAGAGCAATTATGAGGTTATTAACATAGTCAAATATTTTTGAATGAGGGTTCTCATATCTACAGCCCATTATAGTACATTTTGTCTCAATAAATACTGCCGACCTAGAGAATTTAACACATTGATCAAGGTTAAATTCCTTCTATTCATTAAAAAAAGGACCACCCTCTCAAGTTTATTTCATCTACATTTATGAACATTATTACTATTGTCTAAAGTATAATAATATGAAGTATTTTTGGGAAATCATGATTCTAAAATGCAAAATAAAACAAACACTGAGGTTGAAAAGAGTAAGTGCGAGCTGATCTGTGACTTTTAAGGGAGACTAGGAGCATTTAAGTGCAAGATTTATAAATTGCGTTTATCAGTTTTAATTACATTCATTTTACAATTATATTTTAATTACATTCTTTTTGAGGTTTTATGTAAATGCTGGCAGTGATAAATAAAAAAACAGTAAATATCAGGGTCACTGCTAGTAAAAAAGCATCCAACAGAGATTCGTCACTGATCAAGTGAGCTGAATCAGCAGTTGTGGCTCCATAAGAAACCATGTTGAGGTGAAACAGCAGTTTCAAATATTCGTATTGAGTCTTTGATAATGACCTGTCAATCTAAAACCTCCAGCTTTTTCAGCTCCTTGACAAATTTTCCTTTGCTTCTTCTGGTGCTCTGTTGACTTTCATAAATCTTTTGGATTTCCCCCCCTTTTCTGAAGAGGTTGAGCTTTATTTGTGTTATTCGCATTTCTCTTTATCGGGTGCTCATCAAGAATAAACATCGGGTCCTTTTAGTGATTTCCGCTACTTAAGGAGAAAGATTATCTGACTCCTGTTAGTGAATCTAAAAATAAAGGTTGGTGGTTGAATGGTGTATCTTTGTGGGAGAGGAGGGCGTGCTTCTATAACACTACGGTCAAAAACAATATCCTTGGTCTCCAGAAAAGGAAATACCTGCTCCTAAACTGTTGTTATTTGCTTCTCCTTTCCGCAGAGGCATACGAGCTGGGTTTTGTCTTTAGTACTGTAATCAGAACATCATTCATTCTAGAAAACGTCTCCAGCTCTTCCGCTGTGTTTCAAGGTTCTTAATCCTTTTTAGTTTTTATCTAATTTAGATGGAGAGGGGTTTTTACATGGACACGCATTCCTCAACAAGTGTTTTTGCCCCTGCCTCACATTTACTCATGTTTATACGGTGTTTCGGCCATTCATGTAAAAATTTTGTAAATGACAAGTTCCTTTTATATTTTGATTTAGTTTTATTTTGTAGACATAATATATTTAAGTTAGTTAAGGGCGACAGTGGCGTTGGATGTAGGAGTTTGCCCTGAAATTGAAGGATTGACGGTTCTAGCCCCAGCTTCGACTTTCAGTGTCATTGTGTCCTTGGGCAAGACGCTTCACCTGCATTGTCTACTGATGGTGGTCAGAGGGCCCGGTGGCGCCAGTGTAAGGCAGCCCCGCTTCTGTCAGTGAGCCCCAGGGCAGCTGTGGCTACAATGTAGCTTGCCACCATCAGTGTGTGTGTGAATGGGTGAATGAATGTAGTGTAAAGCGCTTTGGTCAAGTCTCCTGACTTGAATAAAGGCGCTATATAAGTACATGCCATTTACCATTTAGTTCTAAACCAAGATCTATCATTTAGTGCTTTACAATAAAAAAAAAAAAAAGGGAGAAAAATATAAACAATCGCCCTCATATCCCTCCTATGTGGCACAAACTGGCCCCTTGCATCCACTTCCTCACCGCCTGGGCTATATCTAGACCCACAGCTAGTTCGTGATTGACCCTCTTGCGTTGTGGCTTGGAATAACATAGCGCAGACCACGGTTCAAAATTGGGCATAAATCAAAAATATCTGCATCATACCTGCAAAAAGCTCACTGTGACACACTGCTGCGGGATTATAACCGGCCCTTAAGTCTTATCACTCCTAATAATAGTTTCCCAGAAAGCCTTGGAAATAATCACAATGCTCCAGCAAATAGTGACTTGGCTTTTGACACGATTTGTGTTTCAGGTCTTGGATCTCGAGGATGCCATATTCATCTAATTCACCATAGTTTCATTATATCGCAACAACAAAATACAGGAGGTTAACTGAAGGCACATTACTGATTAATTTAAAGTCAATAACCATTCAATCTGAAGGACTCATTCCTTCAATGTCTGAAGCTGACATATCCTAGCTGTTATCATCTTTATACTTTGAACCTTGCGCTGACATGTGGCATTGAATGTAAGGAAATAAAAGTATTTCCTTACAACCCTGTCCCCTATCATCACGTTTTAATAACATTCAGGATTACTTTAACAGAATTCTCCTGCCCCAAAAGAAGGTTTCACTTTAGCAGATCATTATCAGATATTACAGTTATATATTTTAAAGAATCTGTTTCCCTTTCTCTCTCCTCTGTGTCACTGAGCAGTGCTGCAGAGGGAAAAAGTTAAATTTATACCCCTTCACAGGTTAATGATTTTGTTGATGGGGTTACCAGTGTGACTAACTGTATGTGCTCTCTTTCATCCTCTGACATGGGAGCTGGCTCCCTGGATGTGTGGTTTCTGGACGGGGCCGCATGTGGAGCTGCTTGAAAGTTGCCTTTTGTATCTCTGCTTCTTTTTCTATGGCTGCATCTGTCTCCTTGAACCCCAGTGGGCCTCGGCAGTTGGCCTCTCACACTGAACCTGGTTCTGATGGAGGTTTCTTCCTGTTAAAAGGGAGTTTTCCTCTCCACTGTCGCTACAAGTATGCTTGGTCTGAGGGTTTGCCTTCGAGTCATTGAGTCGATGCAATCAGCTGGTTTCCTTAGATAGAAAACCTTCAATCTATTTGACTGGATGATCTGGTTGAATTTTCTCTGTAAAGTGCCTTGAGATGACATTTTTTGTGAGTTGGTGCGATATAAATAAGCTGAATTGAATGGAATTGATTTCAGACTGATTGGTTAAAAACTCACACTGTGCAGTTGACTTTCAGCTGTTAAACTGAGCTGCATGTAGAGACAGTTTGAAGGAAAAACCTATCTTTAGATCAGACACCTCCAACAGAACCAGGCTCAGTGTGAAGGGTCTGTCACGGCCTCTTCTTCATCTCTTTCCTGTTGTTGACCCATAAAGACTGAGGTTAATTGAAGCCTGAAATACTTTAGATGAGATTTTTGGTACTTCTGTGACCTACTGTACTGCAAGTATTTTTTCCAGCTCAGCCACTCCTGGGAAAGATCACCATGTTTCTTGTTTTCTCCATTTGTTGATAATGGCTCTCACTGTGGGTCCCCCAAGTCCCAAGTCCTTAAAAATGGCTTTGTTACCCTTTCCAGGCAAAAAAATGTCAATAGTTTGTTTCTCATCTGCTCTGACTTTCTTTAGAAGTTATAGTGTGCTGCTTCTTTCCTTAATCTGCTAGAATACTTCATGATTTTGATGATTTCTTGATCATTAAGGCTTGTTGTTGGTTTATTTTGTAGAACTATATCTAGGTCTAATTACTGCAACCCAGCCCAGTTGTAGTTAGTGAAAATAAACCAAAACCTGCACAATTTAAATGGTGGGGGGAATAAGAGAAACACCAACTTCATCTGTAGGGGTGTAAGATGTTTTTGCATGACATTGTAGCTATTAGTTGTTTATCAGACAAGTTCAGCACTTAGGTTTGATTGCTGCTGACTTTTATAAAGTTGATCGGTTTTATTTGCCTCACAAAAAATTCTGCAAGATTACAGATACACTGTGTGCCATGGAGGAAAACAAATGATTTTCTATCCAAATAATCTGTCAGGAAGCAGGAGAGAAGGACCCAGTACAGACAGACAGTGGAAAAATTCAAAATAGTCCTCACTGGAAACTCTGGTGGAGAAAAACATAGGTAAGTGACCATGATAATCTGATGGAGGATGATTATCCATGGGAGTCATCTACCATGTTTGACAGTTAAGTCTATTTCCATAGAGCGCGGTAGGATCCAACCGGAGGGCTGCAAACTAGATGCCGCAGACGCTGCCAGAGTGTCCTTGATGCTGCAGTCCCAGAGGGGCAAGCAGGACTCCGAGCCAGATCAGGGAAACAGATCGGGACAGGAAAATGAAGAGGTCCAGGAGTCCGAAGCCCAGTCAGGGATACCGATGAGAACAGGAGCAGGCCGGTTCAATGTTCCAGATGTCCACAGAGAGTTCAGGCAGAACATTCAGATGGAAACAGGCCAGCTCAGTGGTAGGGAGGCGGGAAAAGGCAGGATATTAGGAACACTATATTTTTATTTACCTATTTACTTTAAATTAATATTTAAAGTAATTACTATTTTTTAGGGGAAATATACGTTTTTTTTACTATTTTATTGAAGAGAAAGGTACATTTTGAGAAAATCATTCAGTGATATTTGTTAAAAGAGGAAAAGAAACATGAATTTACCTAATTTCTGCATATTTTGCATATAAGTTGGTAAGCTTTTTCAGGATTTCAGATCTGTCTCACACACGCTTATTCCCACACCAAAGACACTCATATAGATTCAATAACAGAAAAGCAGGTAGCATGCTTTTCTACACCTTAAAAGCTGACACTTTTAAGACCAAGGACCAAAACAATAAAAAATGCATATCTGAGAGTGAAAAGGCCAACCTTCTGGTAAAGTGTTAAATAAGGTAAATATGTAATGCGAAACGGTGTGAAGAAGACACTAAAATGGTGTCAGAGTAAAGGGTGAGAGTAATTTTCTCCTTCCTCCAAATGCTTTCAGCAGATGCAGATAGGCGAATAGATAGGTGGCGTGGGGCGAAGGTGTGTGGGCTCATTCATCCATGCGGACATATATGCAGCGTCTGAGCGGAGGTGAGAAAACAAAAGGGGTTCTGCCGCATTTATTTAAAAACTTTCAGGAGGGAAGCCGCGCCTCACCCGAGGCTCTTATCTCAGCGACGCCTCTGGGCTCAGGGTGTGACGGCCTCAATGTGTCAAAATAAGAGGCAGCCTGTATTCTGCTGCCGGATCACGCTTCTGGAAAGAAAGAGACACCCGGTGAGGGTATTCATAGAAGGGTTTTAATGGCTCTGGTCATCTTTTATCTATTAAAAAAAAAAAGGTCCTGTCACCTACAGCTGGTGAAACACGAGAAACAGAGATGCTTGCCATTAAATGGAGCTGCAGAAAAACTCAGGTTAAGGGTTAAAAGATATGATTTTTTAATAATCAATATATGTGGAAAAGTTTTTTGGACTTTAAATAAACCAAACGGAATAGATGTTTAAAAATATTTATTTCCATATTACCCACAATAAAGCGGTAGTTCCTAGTTAATAGAGTGCACCTGCATTTAAGGCATTAGGATGGTGTTTTTTGCATTTGCTCAAAAGGATGCTGTAAGGCTCCGTGGTTGATGATCAGCGCTGATGCTCTGATGCGGGAATCTCTCTTCTCCCTGTTTTGTTTCAGCCTCCGGAGCACAGGTGCACTGCTGCTCTCTCCAGCCCAGGGACCGTCACCTGCTGCTGGGACACGCTGCCGCCCTGGTTGGGGATCTAACCAAGAGATCAGCACATATTTAGGTTAGGCACGAATCCAAAGAATGAGAACTACAGGATGCAATGGAACAGATGTGTTAGGATAAAGAGGTTTGGTCTGGTTTAGGTATCATAGCCGGGATGTGCAAGGAGCTCTTGATTCTAACCTTTTTAAATAAAGAGTGTTTGTGTATGGTACTTATTTTCTGAAAGGTCAAATACTTTTACTCGTCTGCGGATTAAATAATTTAAAAACATGCCTGGATTATACGATGTCTTTAAATCCAGTTGGATCCCTTTAACTTTCTCACAGTTTGTCATTTACTGACCACAAACCTCAATCTGTTTTAATGTGATTTTGTCTCACAGATCAACACAATGAAGCTGAAACTAAAGCTAAAGGAAAGCAATACATATCTTTTATATTTTTTTTGCCAAAACAACAACAACAACAAAAATTGGCACACATTGTATGCAGCTCCCTTCAACTACCCTTCACATAAATCTGGTCTTCGAGGTGCATCACCACCAGCTTTGAACTCTACAGACTGATTTTTTTTTTTTGCTTGTCTTTCTTTGAAAAATAGTTCAAGAATAGTTTGTTTGGATGAAGAACCTTTGTAAGCATTAATCTTGGATTCTTGCAGCAGATGTTGTAGTTTTGCCATTTTTCTTAGCCTACCACACCTTTTCAAACTTATAAACTGTTTCTTTTTATTCCACCTCATATCATGTGCTGATTTTCATTTATCCAAATACAATCTACTGTATTTAGTGGTGGTAATAAGGTAGAATGTGTATAATTTCATATATAGAGAACAGTAAAAGCCATTGTACCGTAGGTTTGAGCTGGGGACACATGGTCCTGATTTTCTCCCATCGCTTTTCTTCTTCTCTGGAGGACCAGCTGCAGCTCGGCCTGCCCAACATTCCTGCCGATCCCCCTTTTGGAGGGAACCCTGCGAAGGTGCTGGCGTTTAATGTTGTCCTAAAATAAGAAAGAGCAAAAATTATATGACAAAAATCAAAAGAGAAAATACCACGGAAGGAATCAGGAAAGCCTTTTGTGTATTACCAGCATTCCCTTTAATTCCAGGACTGCTGACTTCCTGTTTTCACTCCTCTGGTCCTGGAAAAAGATATCGAATTTTGAAAAAAAAGAAACTAATAAATAATAATAATAATAATGATAATAAATAATAGTAATAATAAAAGGGAAATATTTTCCATTGCTAACCCTCCATGAGCTGTCTTCGTCCTGTGAGCAGAGAAGATACAATTAAATAAAATTAGTCCTCTTTAAAGAAGCTTCATATCTAAGTATCTAAAGCATAAAACAAGCATTCACTTTTTACCTGGATTTTTTGTACAGGCCTCAGGATAATACCTTTCTTTATTCTGTCCATCATCTCGTCCACTGCCTTTGCCTTTATGTCCTTCAGTGGCTCTGGCTCTAAAAGAAATTCATGTGACACATGTTGCATCATGTAAAAGATCAACCAAGATGTCTCTTTTAGCATCAAACGATAAACTGAGTCTGTGTTTTCTACCTTATATTAGAAATACATCATAGAGTACATAAAAATGACAACTCACTGCTGGTATCAACGACACTGCCTCCTTGCTTCCTGCTCCTGATGAAGTCCCGTAAGCTATATAGAGATGAGGGGAAAGACAGTTGAGTGGAAACCTTACTGCCATGCATTGCTGCACTTAAACAAACAGGAGTGTCAGGAGTGTCAGAAGTGTCAGAGAGGAGAATGTTGGCCAGGATAACATCCATGCTGGAAAATTCTGCACATCCCCTTCATGATGTGCTGGTCGCCAACAGAAGCACCTTCAGTCAGAGACTCATTTCATCACGCTGCACCACAGAGCGCCACAGGAAGTCATTCCTGGCTGCGGCCATCAAACTGTATAATTCATCCCTCTGACAGTCCTTTCATCTCATTAGTTATTTTTTTTTTTTTCATTACTTCAATATGCGCAATAACGCGATCATGTGCAATAATTATAATTTGGTACTAAGCAGCACTGTAAATCATAAATACTTTCATCTGTACAAACTGTGATCCTTATCTTACTTTATTATTATCCTTATCTTATTTGATTCTTTCTTATCTTATTTTATTCTTATATCTTTTTTGTACTTCCAATCTAATTTTTCTCTCTTCTGTTAATGGTCGCACTGCAAGAAAATTATTTCCCACAAGGGATTAATAAAATAATTCTGATTCTGATTATCAAACACACCCTGTTGCCAAAAGTATTCGCCTTCTTACTTCACAGATATGAACTTCCATGACATTCCATTACTAATCCATAGGGTTTAGCATGATTTCAGCCCATCCTTATATAACAGTTTTAATGTTTCTTGGAAGGCTTTCCACAGGGATAAGCAGTGTGTTTGATGGGGATTTTGTGACTATTTTCCCAGAAATGCACTGGTTCTTACAGTTTACATTCATGTTAGTGATGAAAAGGCCTGGATGCAACTGCTCAACTATGGTAACCCTCCCAGTAGGCTTTGTTCTAGAGCCAAATTCTAATTACTCTTGAAAAAAGTAGAGGATCTCCTCATTTTAAGGGTTTTAAAGGGGGAAAAACATTTTTTAATGTATTGAATTGGAAGGGAGAGGTTTTAAATTTAGATTAACATACTTGATAACAGGAGTAGCTTGGGGTGGAGGCAGTGGAGGTGGTGGTGGTGGTGGGGGTGGTGGAGCAGCATTACTCTCTTCCTTCAGTTCATTCTCTTTCTCCTCCTTGTTCATCGTTTCCTGTAGCCGTTTCACTACAGGAAGGACAACAGAATGATATTGACCTTTTATATCATGAAGCATCTGTTCAAAATCACAGATTAAGTAGAAGAAGAAGACCCTTCAGTCCAATAGGACTAAGATTTAAATATGCAGTGAAGGGACAAGAGATGGAAATATGTTTTGGCCAAAGTATTTCGTAATGTCTTTCCAATTTGCTTTTTTATAATCTGTTAAAACTGTAATGATTTGGATGGATGGATGGATGGATGGATGGATGGATGGATGGATGGATGGATGGATGGATGGATGGATGGATGGATGGATGGATGGATGGATGGATGGATGGATGGATGGATGGATGGATGGATGGATGGATGGATGGATGGATGGATGGATGGATGGATGTTTTACAGTCTTCTTTAAAGGAGGCAAGTCTGTGTTTCATAAAGACACAATATAATAAAGCACCAATATTCATGTGACTGGAGCCTCAAAGACCAAACAATAAATAGAATAAGTTTTTTGTTTTTTTGTTATTTTATTGGAAATATACATTTACAAGCCACATCGGGCTATAAGCCGCTATCTACTGAACTGTCTCCCACTAAACCTGTAGGTAGAGCTCTACAGTAAATATAGCCCCTAGACCAGGGGTCTTCAACTTTTTCCAGGCCAAGGATGGAGCGGGGACCCCCTAATTATATATATTGTATGAAATTGTTTTACATCAAACCGGCCCTATAGTCACTCTATTACATATGGAGTAATGTAACGAAAGTAATTAAAGTAAAGTATTTCTGATTCTGATTCCTCATTGATTGGACAGGTGTTGTGGATGAAACGGTGCACAGCTTGAAAGAGCTCCTGTGTGTCGCTGAATTTGAGCATTGATGACTGAAAGATATCTTCTGCCTCCATTTATCCATTTATTATACTGTGTTGTATACATTTAATTTGTATTTAAAGACATTTCAATTAGTGGAAAAAATTGAAGGGGGGGAAATATAAAAAAAGTCTAATCAACCAAAACTTTCACGACCCCCATTCAGTACCTCCGTGAACCCCCTGTTGAAGACCTTCGCCCTGGAGTAGGGACAGAGAAGAAAGGTAGCTCTCGTTAGCTTGATTGGTGAGAGCAATAAAAGCTTCTAATGAACGATGGGGCTTCGTCAGCTTTTTACTTCAACTCTACAGAAGTTGAGCACAGCCTCCTCATTGGTTCGACAGCTTAAGCCGGGCTTACGTTGTACGAATTTTTTGCACTTTTTGGGTCGATTTTGCTGTCATGCAACAATTTTTCGATCGGGCTGACTGTCATCCTCATCGCGCATTGTACGTCGTGTAGTGTACAGGGGTTATCGAGGGGTAATTAGCCTCACATGACCACCTGCCGATCAGGAATCGTAAGGTCGGGAAAAAAAGCAAACAGGTTTAAAATTAAGTCGGCCGTTGTAAGGTTGCATCAGAGCATCAGGCCACACAGTCGAAGAACATGCATCTTGAACTTTGAGCTTTTAAACTTGTACAGTTTGAGCTGTACCTGTATGCAACGTCTGAAAATATCGCACAGTGTATGCTCGGCTTAAAATGCAAAAAATAAATGTATAAATGTGTGAATTCTGAACATTTGTTCTCCGTCATGCCTGCTGCTAGCATGTGCTTTCTTTAAATGGAAATTAGCCTCTTCTCTGATTTCCTCTGACTTCCGCCACCTGGTGGTTACGAAAAATCTACATAAAACCTGCACCTTCGTACAAGCTTCATGGTTCAAAGCGTAGGAGGAAAAAGTAGCGGCTTATAGTCCGGAAAGTAATTGTTGCCGGTAATGTTGCAAGCAGTTGATACCTTCTTCATTCAGCTCTGTAACTGATGCATTGGCCTGAGACAGCTGACTCTCCAAAGTCTTCCTCTCCTCCTCACTCTTTTTCAGCTTCTCTTTCAGCTCCTGCAGCTCACTGTTGTCCACCTCGGCACCTTTATTCTCCTTTTCCTTTGCACAAATAAAAAGCAAACTGATGTATGAATGAAAACATAACTAAGTTCATCGTTTATTCATATTTATGCACTTGTCCCTGCACACACACCTGGACCTGGTAGTACTGCTGAATGCTGCCCAGGCTTGTGCGGATTTGGTGGATTTGGTTCAGCGCCTGCTGCAGCTGAAGGTGCATATCTCCCTCCGAGCTACACGGCTCCATCACACTAGGTAGCTGGGCCACCTTCTGCTCCACCAACATCTGATGAGACAAGCCAAAATCTGAATTCACCTCTAACACTTTCAACAAATCCGTGTAATCAAGTGCTTTGAAGGAAATAGAAAAGAAATGCATCTGCTACAATGAACCACCATTAGAGGGAAATGAAGGGAACTGAATTGCTGGTTGTAAAATTTTTCTCCCCAGGAGGCTGTCACGAAGCAGGGAAAATGTTTTCAAACCATGTGTTTGACTGAACAATGACTTGTGGGTCGTCATTACTCATCGGCTTCAGCATAGAGAAGAAACAAGTAAACAAGATGGTTTTCCTGTGAGACAAAGCATCATTGTTCTTCCATTATGAGGAAACAATTCTGGCTTTGCCTCAATTCACTCAGAAATTGTTTTCTCTCTGTTAATTGTGACAGATGAATGCACCAGTTGTAGTTAATAGCTAAGAAATCAAAACACAAATAAACCCCTTGTTCTTTTAAAGAAATTCTGTCAAGTGCTTTTATACATACTCTATACATAATACATATTGCTGCAATGTGGTCCTCACATTGAACTGGCATTAAAGGCAAATTAGAAGAAAGTAACCAATGTCATAAGATATATATATATTTTTTTTAAATGGTATAGTGACCTAATTTAGATTTAAGCCATCCAATATAGTTTTGTTTTGAGTTTTTTTGGCCATCTGGTGCATGTCACCACTGTTTGATTAAGTACTTTAAAATTAATTAATATTTGCAGGCCAATATTTACAATGTGAGATAAGATGTGCTGCTTTTCTTTGAGCTATGTATTTATGTTCTAATGTTTTAGTCACCTTTGCTAATAGCAAGCAGTTAATGCCAAATTGATCCAGCATCAGTGGTAGTAACCCTCACTGATAGCTTCTTAGCTTCATCTTAGGAGGGCTGATTTTGATGAGGAAACAATGACTGCTTTCCCAGAAACAGTGCTTTAGCTACTTTTTAGGAAATGCAATGGTTATTCTAAGCAGATGATATAAATAACACATCAACATTTAGGGACCTTAAAGGTAAAGAGGATGATCTTTTATTTCTGGGTGGATCATCTAAATAAGTGGTACTCCTAATTGTCAGTCATTCTGGTGATATGTTAACGAAAGGCTGTCCTACGTGCTCATTCCGTTACCTTTCTTTTTCTGTGCATGCGCACTTTCAGGTATATATGTGTGATGAGCTACGGTTTCAGACAGTCATTGAAGCTCACCTTCTCATTGTGGTTTCTTTGAAAAGATCTTAAAGGAATAGTACACCCAAAACATGATTAGCCTTCGTTTTCTACTCACCCCCATGCTGAACAACACTCTGGAGTACTTTTTTGATATCTCAAATACATCTGGAGATCTGGGAGGCTTCTTGCTGTCTGCTGACATTCAAATAATGGAGGTCTATGGTGACCGAGACAGAAAGGTCCATAAAAGTCCACAAAAAACGTGTCAATATTCCTCCATACTGCTCGTCCAATGTATTCCAAGTGTCCTGAGTGGGTAGCATCCAGAATTTACTCGAAACGAAGTCATTTAGAATGTTTTTAGAGCATAAACAGTAGTGTATAGGATTTCCTGAAAGCGCGCACATGCGCGCTCACGACGCTACGGAAGCCGGCAGACCAACCAGATGAAAGTGCGCATTCAGTGTCTGCTCTGCCAATAATGCAAGCGTAGAAGAAGAAATGTGCTGTTTACCTGTGCAAAGAAAGAAACAACGAAAGAAAAATGTCTGAGGACTTCAGTGTTGAGGAAGAGCATGAGTTCTTTGCCGAGCTGAATGCGCTGGTTTGGTGTGCCGGCTTCCGTAGCGTCGTGAGCGCGCATGTGCGCGCTTTCAGGAAATCCTATACACTACTGTTTATGCCCTAAAAACATTCTAAATGACTTCGTTTCGAGTAAATTCTGGATGCTACCCACTCAGGACACTTGGAATACATTGGACGAGCAGTATGGAGGAATATTGACACGTTTTTTGTGGACTTTTACGGACCTTTCTGTCTCGGTCACCATAGACCTCCATTATTTGAATGTCAGCAGACAGCAAGAAGCCTCCCAGATCTCCAGATGCATTTGAGATATCAAAAAAGTACTCCAGAGTGTTGTTCAGCATGGGGATGAGTAGAAAATCAAGGCTAATCATGTTTTGGGTGTACTATTCCTTTAAGAGAGAAAGTGTCTAAAGTGGTGTATAAGAAAAGAAAGGCCTCAGAAGAGGCAGATATATCCCAGAATATGCAAAGGAGAGCTCACCTAGCCTAAGCCTAACCAGACAGCGGCGACTAATAACAAAGACCGCCTGCACCATAAAGTGAACTCAGTTAACTGAGTTCACCATAAAGTCCACTATATAGCCCCCCCTCTATATAGTGATTGAGGGATTTAGGGGATAGGGTGGACATTTGGATACAGTAAGCTTGTATGAGCAATGAGAACAGAAACTTTTAAACAGAGCGTGCACGAGGAGAAATGGGCTCGTGCATGCTCTCGCACACGTTTAATAGGCGTTCCCTTTCGGGAGTGGGTACAGGGTTGCGCATGAGCATTTTTTTTAATTGGCGAAGGCAGGTCTTTTAAAAAATTCACGAAAATTAAGGTATAAATGAACTTTTTGATCAACTTTACTCAACCCTAACCCTAAATTTTGACATTTTCCCAAATAGTTTTTAATACTTTTAACATCCATCTCTGTTTTCAAGTAAAATTTTACACATTTTGTTCAATTTATTCCAATTGTTCAGTGTAATTTATGAAAACGAGTTGCAAAATACATTTTTAGATTTTCAACTGAATTTCTAAATACTATTTTAGATTTACAGCTGACTTAAAAATATTTTTATTGAATTTGGATTGACGTTAACAAAAACAAAAAAATTATGTGTTGATAATAAACCGGTGTGGTAAGCCATGTTTTTTCCAACTCGACAAAAACTGTAATAAATGATCTGCTTTGGGTGGCCATACCAACCATTAGAGAAATGCCAAACAGATTAAGCAAACCTTACTACCTGCATGCAGACACCTTGGCACATGTGCAGTCTGAATTAGTGGTGGCTCCTTTCAAAATAGAGATTGTTGTTGAGTTTTAAAGTACACAGTTTTGAAATGTAACTCTCTAACTTCCAATCAAAAATAAACTCCCTGATATTAATTAAATAATTTCAAATGTTAATCTACCATGAGTCTGGATAATCTTTAGGTTACACATATTAGTATATTGCTAAGAACCAGTAATAAAAAACAACTATATAATATATGTCATTGTTATCTATTTATTTATTTTTAAAATGTGACAGTTTAAATCATCATTCAGTTATGTTGACATTGAGGTAAATTTTCAAAAGGGAATCCCAAGAAGCGCAATGCTTAAGGACAGGGACCCACAATTCAAATATACTAAAAAAGTAAATATAGTAAAAGCAAAAGCAGAATCACAAGGAAAGCAGAAATTACAACAGGAGCCACATAACAAACAAACAAAAAAAAGCAACAAACAGGGCAGAAATCAAAAGCCTACCCTCATCCACCCAACCCCACCAAACAAGATCATATTATAGATGGAGCCTAATAAATGTATCCGTCTGTAAACATACTATCACTCAAATCAGATTTTCATAATTGTTATTTAAGATATTTCATGCATTCAGGACCAGACCAAAAAATGTGTCCAAAGTCAGGGTTTTTAAGCGTAAAAGGTTTTTCAAATGTATAAAGAGAGTGGGATTCTTTTATAGAACTATCAATGGCATGTCATAGAATTTGTTTCTTTAATGCTTATATATAGAAATTAGTTGTTTATTTCTTATACGATTACTTAATGCTGTCATTGACTGGTTGGGTTCTTTGTAGTGTTGCATCGATGCCATATTTTGGCCCCGATATCGATACCCGATACCTGGCTGTGCAGTATTGGCCGATATCGTTACTGTAACGATACCATCTGTTTGAAATTGATGTGTGTGTGTATATATGAAGAACTGCATACTACTGGAATGTAAAATAATTGCCATCAAGGCATTGTCCAGCTGCTGCCTACCTTTGTGAAGCAGGAAAAAGACTAATACAAACTGAATCCAGTAGAACTTTTTATGGCCTACCTGGAATGGGCGATAATAGTTGAATAAACTTTGGCTATTGGTATCGGTGACCTATTTGTTGGTACTCACCTATACTGATACCATCATTTTAGTGCTGGATCAGGGCCCCGCCCGATACTATTATCAGTATCGTTACAACACTAGTTTTTATTGGGATCACATTTTGGTTTTAAAGAATGTGCCAAATAATTTTTTTATTATTACTAGCTAATTACTGGCCAGAAAAAAATGGTTCAATACATTTTTTTGAAATTAAAAAACTTTCTCCTTAAAATTCTGTTTCCCTTTGTTTCTTTCTATTCTCTTTCTTTGGTTAGTAATTGAAACTGTTCTTAAAATTAAATATATATCATTCAGTGATGGTTTAAAAGTTGTTAAAAGCAACAAAACCAACGTATGGAGACCAAGCGCATAAAAAACGGAACTAAACACATCCACTCGCTGTCACTCCAATCAGTTAAGTGACCATTTTTATAAGTACATAATTGAAAAACAGGAAGTGTGCGGAGAAAAGGGTTTTCATTTCTGCGTTTTTAGCATGAGAACAAACTGAAGCTGCAGATTTGGTGAGGTCTCCATCAGCAACGTGCTAGTCTTTACGTTGCAAATTGCACCACTCCGATCTTTGGTCCCCCTTCAGAGGAGAGCAATTTTCACACAGCAATTAGCACAGTTATTTCATACGTACACACACACCCCAACACAAAGAGACAAAGACACACACACACACACACACACACACACAAAAAAGCTCCAAATTGTTTCCTGTTTTGAGGATCCACATCATTATACCACCACGCATGGCGGGGAGGAGGTGTGAATGGTTGTTGTTTTCAAAACACATGAAAACAGACAAATAGCAGTGCATACAAGAGGCATTCAGCACAGGGAGGGGGTCTTTTACCCTGAACTGAGAGTAAAGGGGCTGAATTGTGTAAGGAGTTGGGGGTCCCTTTCACAGGTAAGGACCCCTGCAAGGCAGCCCATTGTGTGCCTGTCCGGTAAATGGAGGACACGGCTCACAAAGACGACAATTGCTATATGCTCGCCAAAACATAAAGGTGTCAGGCGAAGACAGGTTGTGCTTAAAGGCCGCTATTCTCCTCCAGCAGCAGTGATGAGCGCTAATTATGGGGAGGGGAGGGGCAAAATGGGAGGGGAAGGGGAAAGAGATGTTTTGAAAGAAAAAAAAAAGCCTTTATTAAAGGAGCAGCTGGGATAAGAAAAACTGTGCTCAGTGTGTGTGTTTGTTTGGGATTTCAAGAGAATTGATGTTTTCTCTATTTGTGTGTTTTTTATGTGTGTTTGTGTGGATGCCAAGCCTTGTTTAGAGAGCAGAAATCTGATGGTTGGTGTGAAAATGGAGAGCCCCCCCACCCTGCACCCACCACCTCTGTTGACCTGTCACCTCTGTTATACTCTGACACCAAGGCAGTGTGTTATAGTATACACGTATCTCTGTCCCTTTTCTCACCGCGGCCACCCGAAGGTCAGCGGCAACACCCCCTCTGCCTTCCTGTGGCACGACCTGTCACCCTCAGCGTCCCCAGGTGCAAATGTGTGACAGAAATATTTCTGCGTGAAGATGAAAACACACACACAGACACACAGACACACCTGGTGGGCGAAGACTTCGGCATGTTGCCGCAGGCCCTGCTCCAGCTCCAGCTTCTGAGACATCTCTGTGAACTCCTCGGTGACAAGCTGGGAGACTAGGCATGCACAGGAGAAAGAAATGAGAAAAACTGAGCATGAACACAGGAACACCAATTCATGACATTCATCCTGGTTATCCCACCCCAAGAAATTAAACTGTTTAGTACAAAGGATAAATTTCCCCTTTAAATCTAACTTTGAAGGAGCGTATTGACTATTTATTTCAGTTCTTGTGACCTTGTGGTGCCCTGTTCACTTCTCATTTTCTGCCTCAGTTGTTTCAGCACCTTAGATCCTGTGCTTGTGCTGGTTTGCCTGAGTCAATTGGTTAGACCAGGCCTTAAAGATAAGACACTCCTCCAAGTTCATCAGTCATCTTTGACGTTGATGACAAGGTGAAAGAAGCTAAGATGACCTATGAAGACATCGAAATGCAGCTGTAGTTACTTGATGTTACCCTGTGCAAATTATTATATCTATCATTCATATGCATGTACATGCTGTGGTAAACTTTGTAAGGTACCAAACAACAAGTGTGAACGTGAGAGGATATGTTTTTAACCAAAGTTGCTATAATTTTTGTACTGAAATTATTCTACCCATCACCACATAAACACAGACTATTAGACTTAGACAGATGTATTTGTCATTTTGTTTACACAAGTGTAAAACAAAAAGAAATTTCTTTTAGAACAGCTCTCTGGACAATTTAATTTTTTTTTAAGTGCAGCCTTGAAAAAAAGTAAAAAAAAAATACATATATAAAAACAGTAATATAAACATAAGACTTTTAGTGTGAAAGTCAGGTCTTAATTTCAAACAAATTATGATTTTGTTTACAGTGGGTAAAAAGCTTTTGAAGCTAACAAACATAAAATTATTTAAAAGTATTGTGGATATCTTATTTCTGCTTAAAATCATCTTATCTGCTGGTCATCCCGTATGCCAATGTTTGTCATTTAACGCCATTGTGTTTGCTCGTTCCTGTTTAGCTTTCGCTTTCTGCCCATGCACACTTCTACTTTATATACTGTACATCCAATGAGCTTTGGTAAATTAACACTTGGCAAATGTAAAATGGTGTAATGTAAATACCTCGTTTCATTGAGATTGTGCCTTGGAACTGCATGTACAGACTGCAAACAGAGCAATGCATAAGATAAACAAGGCTTGCACTCGCTGAAGAGAGCCCCATGGTTGCTAAGTGCTCCTCCTGAGGAGTGCGAGAACAAGCAGGATGGTCCTGCAGATGTATTCAAAAAGTGACTTTTGTTTTTCTTAACTACATTTCTGGAAAAATGTCCACTATATCTTTAACCAGACAAAATGAAGTCGGTAGGAAGGTCTTAAAAAAAAACATATCCTGCCCAGTTCGATAAAAATTGATGGTTAGATGAGAAACAATTTTATTGGCACCTTAAAGTCTAGTAGAGGGTTAGAAAGCTATTTCTACAGATTTACTACTATAGTGAGTGTGGTTATCAGTATATTGAGAAAACAGGTTGAACCTTCCCAAGAGTGGACAGCCATTGAAATGAATCTAAGAGGGCAACACCTCAATCTAGAATACGGTGACCAGATGTCCCCGATTTCCAGGGACAGTCCCCGTTTTGGACCACCTGTCCCCGGCTAAAGCTGTCTCCGGAAGTGTCCCAGATCTTACAGTTTTGTGAATGAGGAGGAAATGTTGCATGTAGACAGACAGCTATTACGGTAGAAAGAGCGCTTAAGAATGTTGCACGCAGAAAGCCTACAGCCTCCGAGGTTCCTCCCATCTTGGTCCGCTCCGACTTCCTCGGGGCTCAAGGAGAGCATGCACGACTTTATTATTATTATTATTATTATTATTATTATTATTATTAAATTCATAGGTGCAAACCATGCGGATATTAATTTTATGAATAATTAAAACTCACCATTAGCATCCGTCACACGTTTCTGCCCAAACATTTATTTTTTGTTGTGCGTCTTTGTAATAGGGATAATTAAGACCGTACAAAATTGGTTTGTTCTCTACCTCCAAAATCAGCATCTCTTCATCCATGCCTGAGATAATAAATTTTTTTGAAGTTGTGAGATGCACTCTTGAAAGTTGTGACTGGATTTAATGAAACTTTTAAACCTCTTAGTATAAAATAAATATTTTGATCGAGATGAGAAATTTGCTTCATGGTGTTTTGAAGTGCATCCAATAATTTTAGTTTTTGGGGAATATATAAGAATTATGCTGTAATTTTTTTGTTGTATTATGTCTGTTTTAAATTAGTGTAAGATTGATAGAAGAGAAAGAAGAACAGGAGTCTGATAGAAAGAAGATTGAATGAGAGCGGAAGAAAAATCTACTTAGAAGAGTAAAACAGAGAGCAGGTACAAGTCAGCTACAAATAGAAGATGGAGAGGGAAGAATACAGAGAATACTCAATGACTCGATGACACTAATAAACACTATCAATTGATTTATTTTAAATCTTAGGAAATGGGAAATGCACATTCCTGGATATTACACTTGATTTTTGTTGTTTGAATATGAATAAATATGTAAAAAAAAAAAAAAAAAAAAAAAAGGGTGAAAGCATCACTGTCCCCGTTTCCTATTTTAATTCTGATTATGTCTTTCTTTTTATCTTTTTATGGATGTGTCCCCTGATTTGATTTCAGAACTCTGGTCACCTTATTCTAGAGGTCACCAAAGAACCAAGGGGACAACCTAAAACACAGACCTCACCTGCCTTACTTAGTTAAAACTTGTGTGTTGGTGTTTGGCTTCGATAAAAACCCGCCAGAAAACCTGAAGTTTGAGAGTGTCTCGTTTATTTTTCGTATGGTCATTCTCTTATATTAACATCAATTCAAAATAGTTGCTAACATTAGCCTGCCTAGCTGTCATCTCTCCCACCTCTATTCATCTAAAAGGGGGAATATCTTAAAGGACCTGCAACAGAGCTGTTGTGTAACAGACTGGGAAGAAATGGTAAATAATCAATTAAAAACTGCAAATTTTCCTAATGCTACGTCCTATAAACACACATACACAATGTCTTGTTTGTGAGAAAGAAAAGGGGAATGAAAAAGGGTCAGAATTAGCTCTGTTAAATTTAGTTTCTCTTAAAATTGATTAAAAAAAATTCATTTAAAGTCAACTTCAGAGGGATTGCATAAACAAAATACCAGGTTAGGTTTCTTTAATATCTGCGTTGTAGCATTTAAGAATGAATGTGGGAAAACCAAGCAAAAAATACTTAAATTTAAAAAGCATCCCAGTCCCCATTTCTTAAGCCAAAACCGAGCTGTGAATTACAGATCCTGGCGATTTAAATGATGAACATCTTTTTGACCTTGCTCCTTATTTTATTTCACAATTAGTTGCTAAATACTTAATGATGATTCCTGAAAACAGAAATATGCTAGCCTGTCAGTTTCTAGCAATAACACGGGCACACATGGTTTTAGATAAAGTTTTGAATTTTATCTAATATTAGGACTGAGACTGAGCTTGATGTTTAAGACTCTTACTTTACCAGTGTCTTCTTTATTTAATTTCTATCATTTTATAGAGCACAGTGATTTTTTTAAGGACATATTATACACTGACTTTATGTTTTGCAAATAATAGACGACAAAGATTAGAGACATGATATGAATAAGAGGACTTTACCTCTTTTGATTTTACCCATGGTCTTAGCCTGCTTGCTCATTGTCCTCAGAATGGCCTCCTTCTCTTCAACCTCCACAACGAGCTGAAAAAAAAAACTTCACTGTTAAGGCTCTCTTAGTACCTTGCACTCTCTTTTGTGTCTCAAATCGTTCACAAAAAACAAATTTCAAACACTTCTTTGGTTGTTTTATTTATGAATTTGCAATCACAACTCAGTACCTTATTCTTTAAAGATGCATCTACATAACCTTTAATAGTGAAACTGAAGATATAAAATGTTCATACAGAGGTCAAATTTTATCCCCATGTGGGACAGTCCCAAACAGATGGCGACCTATCAGCTAAAAGAGCCCATCATTACATAAAGACAATCATATGCAAACACCGTTACACAGTGGTATTTATTAACAGTACCTGCTCTCTGAGCTGGGCCTGCTCTCTGGTCAGTTCCTCCACCTGAAGCTCCAGCTGTAGCTTCTCAGCCAGCAGGCCGTCCAACGACTCCTGTAGTGCTAACACAAACCCAGAGACAGATGTCCTCCATTATTTTCTCATAGCAATGTATACATTATTTGTCTCAAAAGGTGGGTGGTTACTAGTTACATTTAATACGTTCTTGTAGGTTCAAGAGGTACTTTTAGAAGTAGTTTTACAGCATTGCATTTTTTACTTGAGTAAAAAATTAAAATATAGTAAAGTATCACTAGTCTTGTGTATAATGCATGGTTAGTTCATCAATTGTGGGTAACTTCACTTAATGAAAATCAGCTTGATTTAAACAGATATGCACCATTAAGAGTCAAAAATTCTTGTGTGTATTCTTCTAGGCTTATTGGTTGGACATGTAGTATGGAGGTTGAGTTAAAATACATTAAACAAATTACTGTAATTTAACCTGTTCTACATACTGTAACTATCAATTTTGTAAGTTTTATAACTCAAAACATTTATTTTGAAGAGTGCTCATTAAACCCACATTTTATTGTGCAATTACTGGTCATTGTATACTGGTATTTATTTTACCATATTTTGAACATCTCTTAATAATTTCTTCAATTTTTAGATAATTTTGTAAAACATTAATTCAGTTGTTTTGATTAGTGTAATAAGTTGATAAATCTGTAATAATTTCTTTAAAGGGAATTTTTTACTTTTACTGGAGTAAAAACATAACGAAGTAGTGCTACTCTTACTCTTAGCACAAGTATTCTCAGCATTAATTGTACACATAGTACAATAATCTGCTATAAGATTTGAGTCCTTGTTTTACTTACATGTGATTTATGTAATGATTCTGCACGTTTTGGTTCTATTTAAGTTTTGTTTGTGAGTTTTCATTTACACTTAGATTCATGTCATTCTGTGTTTTCTACCTAGGTGGTTTCATTTCCATTTTGTGTCATTCTAGTTGTTTTCTGGTTTTATTTGAATTCTTATGAATTTCTTGTTAACTCTGTGTTGTCCCCTTGTGTCAGACTACTTCCCTCTAGCTCTCTTCTAGTTCCTTCTATCCACACCTGCTCACAATCTGTTGATTACTCCATTCTGTGTTCTGCTTGGCATTTATACTCCTTCTCTGCAGTTACTGTTTGCTGGTTTCCCTTAATTTATGTTTTCACCTTTTTTCTAGTTCCTGTGTTCCTCTATCGGATTTATGCTTCTGTTGCCATCATCCCTTATTAAATCTGAAAGAAACCACCTCAGCCTCTGTCTCTGCATTTGGGTCCTCTAACAACCTCCCCACAATCTGATAATTTATCGTTATTAGCAAGACAACAAATTATAACCCTGAGAAAAATGAGACAAAACCTTCAATTTAATCTATTCAATTCAAAAATACTCAATTTATCCTAAAGTTTTACTAAATATCACTCTGATTAAACACATTCAGGAATCATGTTCTTATGTTTACATTAAAGCAACAACAGACAAGAGAATTTGCTAATGCAATAATATTGTAAATGATGCATAACAGCTAATGTTACTTAACACCTTAATTTTTTATTTAATTCGACCGTAAAGTTATTTAATATACACAAGGTTTGTAGAACATTGCATAGCAATACACAAAACCGGCGTTTGCATCTGAATTTGAGCTGAGTACTCAACATGTTGACTTCACCCATGACTCCCACTGTTTTATTTTTAAAAGTGGAGGATTTTATTTGTTTATTCACTTTTATTTGTGGTAAAATCAAATGTGTTTTAGATTTTTTTATGTCTTTCTCAGTCTAACATGCAAGTCCTATTGTACTAAATAATGAGAGTGAAACGATCTTGTGTTGATAGATTTGTCTAAGTTAATAAAAGTTTTAAGCCATTTTGACTGGCTGTAATAACAGCAGAGTAACACTGCGATATCTTTGATGTAACACTTTGCATAGAGGATTGTGAGATCAACATGTCTGACTCATACAGCGGCCACATAGAAACTAATGAAGCAGGAAAATGAAGGGTCACACTGGACATCCTTCCTCAATATAACAACTCAATCACAAACATATATGTATTTAAAATTCAGCTGTTTAACAATGTTTTCTACTTTTATGTTAACAATAGAGGGAAATGCATAAAAAAACATCTGTGCTTTGCTGAATATTGATTCTGAACAGAGCCTTAATTTGCAGTCAATCATTAAAGCTGCAGATGTCTTTTCTCTTTAGCTAATTTAGTTTTTTTTAATAATACCCAGATTCAATCAGAGGGTTTTAAATTGTCTACAGTCGCTTTTTAGAAAGAAACAGAAGTGCTTTAACTGTGAACCACATTAAATCAAGGCTCGAGCAACTAACCTGTGATCTTAGCTTGACTTTCAAGCAGTAAGTTGTCCTCGCTCTTACTTTCCCCACAATCAACCACATCGCCCTCAACCACTGGTTCAGTCTCTGGGTCAAAGGTCACAGTAATCAGGTCCTCTGGCAGGTTGGAGATCAGTGGCATCAGCATTTGGCTCTTCCTTTTCAGAGCTTTGTTCTCTTTGGTAACCTGTGCAACAGAGGATATGATGGTGAGATGTGAAGAATGATGCAGCTTGATACTATTAGTTTGAATAGATTTCTAGAAATAAAGACAGTGAAACAAAGAGTTACTTCGAGAGCCAAAGCTTCAGCGTTCTCCCTACAGGAGCGTTCCACCTGGAATTGGATCTCCAACATATTCATCTCCTTCAGGAGGTGATTCGAAACTGATTAAGGGGGAAAAAATAGATTTTTCAGTCATTAATGTTCCAAAACTGAAGAAGCAGAAACATTTAAATTATAAAAAAATTGGACTTAGCTCATTTTAAACATTTTGCATGATACTGACCGATCCACAGTGCCTCACAAGTATTCATACATTCTATTAGATTTAAAGTTTTTTTTTAACGAAAACCTGTGTTTTAACGCGAGGAACCAGAGCTGGCTTATTCGAGAAAGAGTGTCTGGCATGTCTTAGACGTGTCCCTGCATCAATAGAGCAGAATAAAAATGCTGAATCACATCCATATTTATTTTATTCAGGTGTATTCAACAGAGGGGACACAAAAAGATATACAAGGCATCAGCCACTGAGGGCTGATTTGTTGAAATAGCCATGATTCCCCAACACAAGCCTACAGGTTTTTGATACTTTAATAATAAAGCATAATTAAAACTGTAAAAGAGGAAAACCAAAAGAAGAGATAGATAGATTGGTGAAAGTGAAACAAAAGTTTGTTTTCAGTTTCTTTATGAATTAGTCACAAATCAAAAATGAAATGCAGTAAGTAGAGTCATGTCTCTTGCACTAAGTATATTTCGCCCTTCTTTTAAGTGGGTAAGACAATTTTTTCAACGGAATAAGAGGATTCATATTTAGAATTTAAAAAAAATTATTTCAAGTGCAAAAAATTATTCTCTTAATTCAAGGAATAAAATAATCAATTTGCAGATCATATTAGTTATCTGCTTAAATTAAGGGCTAATACACTTATTTTAAGATGCTGTTAATTACTTTTAGATCTTTTTTTTTCCCAGTGCATTCACTCCAGCAATTTGGCTTTTTTTTCAAAGGAAGGAGGCTGTTGCTAACATCAAGCCTTGACAAGTTGTCAGTAGGTCATCATAAGCCATGTGGGAACAACGCAAAGGTGTGAAAGACAGAGGACTGGCCAGATGAAACCAAAGATAAAGTTATTAACGCTCACATGAAACATTATCTGTAAGGGAAAACCGACAACCGAGGACACCATGATCAAAATAAGACAGTGGTGGAAACATCATCAGAATCAGACATACTTTAATAATCCCAGAGGGAATTACTTTTGTTACACGCTTCAGATATACAAACATTTTTATTTATATATATAACACAAACCACACAAAATAATATACAAATATACACATATTACTATATATATATATATATATATATATATATATATATATATATATATATATATATATATATGTATATATATATATATATATATATATATATATCATACTAAGGATATTCCTTTTCCCGGCAGTGAGAGAGAAACTGTCTGGTACTGATGGCAGGATGGATTGAGCTAAGTACAGAATAATACGGAAGGAACCCAGATAGTCTAAGAAAGAGACATGTGACTGTGGTGGACAAGAAAAGCAAATATTCATCCAGAGCTGCTGTGTGTCGTGACATGCTGCTCTGGGTTTTTGATTCTGTTTAGGTTTTCACTTTGGGTTTTCTGTTAGGGTTTGGTTTATGGTATTTTATGTTTGCTGTTAACAATTCTATGATATTTATCTTAAATTAACTTCGGTCCCTACCCTTATCCTCTAGCTTCCCCTTGGTCATTCTTTATTTTCTAGTCATGATCTTATTCCCCTTTAGCTTCATTTAAGTTGTTTCTAGTTTTAGTTAAGCTTTGTTTACTGTTTTTTGCCCCACTCCTCCCCCCTTAGCCGCTTCTGTCCACACCTGCTCCCAATTAGCTAATTACTCCACTCTCCCTTATATTCCCTGCAGTTCTTCATTGCTGGATTCTCTTCTCGATCACCTGCATGCATTCTCCTGAGTGTCTGACTGTTTTGGTTCCTGAGTTGCTTGTTGTTGATTGGATTTATGCTTCTGTTGCCACCAGTCTCATTATATCTGCAAGAAGCGACCTCAGGTTCCTTCGTCTCTGCGTTTGGGTTCACTACAAACCTCCACACATCTTGACAGTATGGGATATTTAACGTACAAAGCATTTCCATTAGACAAAAGTTTAGACCTAAATCAACAACAAAATTGGAGCCAAGACTTTAAAAAATCATGGTTGTAGATTTTAACTTTCCAATCAATCAGAGCTTTAGCTATTTTGCAAAGAGAAGTACAAATAAATTGCAGCCGCTATATTGTGTAAAGAAATGTTCCTACAAAGTATTGGAGCCTCACGTCTCTGTTTATTGAAAATCAAGCATTATTTTCCAATCACAACACAGTTATGTAACACTTTGTGTAATATAATAAAAACATATGTGAGGATTTAATATATTTTAATAACTATATTATACATTCTTAAGACACTGTAAATTTGAGTAATCTATTATAAATATATATGTATGTATACATAAAGATGAACCCACATTGGGCTAAAAGCAGAAAGCACAGTATTAATAAGCATATATCAATGAATCCGTGTTTCTGCAGTAATAGCATGCTATTCTGTCTTTGTGTTTATGTGGCACACCTCCATCAGTGGAAACAAACATGAGAGGATCATAAACTGCTGTAAATTCTCACCTTCCTCCAGCTCGGTCAGTCTCTGATTGGCTTCATCTCTCTGCTTCTCCAGGATCTCCCACTAACAATCAAATCAGAGAAAGAGAGCAAAGAAAACACATCAATCCGCTCACATCAAATTGATGCTGCTCATTTCTATTCACAATTTTTAAGGCTCCACCTGAGACGCAGAAATGATTTTGCTGTTATTAATGTAATCAAGACTGCAAACATGGACTCTGTAGTGTTCTTTGATTCTGCAATTTAGCCTCATCTTTTCCCTTCTATTTAGATGCTGTTTTAAATTCCACTAGGGTATTTGTTAAAAACACAGTAGAAATTCAGGCGTCAACCCATTTCACATATTTGAGGAGGGTGCATCTTTTCCCCCCAATGTGCTGCTGATTGTCTCTAATATACATTGTTACAGCAGTACCTGAATATCTGTCCAATCTTCAGAAGATGAGCAACTTTCCTCATCGGAGTCTGCAAGCAGAAACAAATCATTCCTCATTTTCAGACAGCAAACAGATCCGGAAACCATTTGTTGCATTTGAAAGAGAAACAGCTTTTTAATCTGTAGATACACTAAAGCTTCTCCTGTCTCTTAGGCATAACGGGAAAGGGAAGTTCTCCATGCTTTATGGCAAGATAAATAAAGGAAGTGAAATCAAAGAAAGGACTCAAAAGCATGTTTCGATTTCTGTCACGTTGGACCCAATGACAAGGAAAAGTCAATCCCTCGTTGCAGCATGTTCAAGAGCCTGAGACCTTGCCCTTGCAGCTTTGTTAATGAAATACTGCAGAATATATATATATATACTGTATATATATGGGATGTTTAAGATAATCAAGAAAGGAGAATATCTTGGTTCCATTTCATAACCACATTATATATTAAAGCAGTAGAATAAAAAACATGTTTCATTTGGTCTCCTTGATCAGAAAGGTCCAAAAGTCATGCGGTTAATTCAGATGCATCTTTTACAAGTTGTGCTTAGACACTTTTTTCCCTGTAAAAACCCTGGAGCAACCTATAATCATTTCTATTCTTTCTCTCAGTTCATTCCTGACTCTCATTGTTAAGCTCTGTTTTTTCTTTTTGTATTCCTTTGAGCAAATTTCACTCATGCATCATTTGAATTAGTTTAAAATAATGGAAATTACAATGATCCTTCCCAGGTTGATGGATTGTAACACTAGATGTCTTTATACCCTGAGAATGACTTAATACAAAAAACACTTTTTATATGGAAGTTGGTAAACTTGTTCTGATAGCTTAAATGTTTTTTTTATATGAATCTAAAAAATGAGTTTCTTACTGAAATTATACTTTTTGTATAATTTATTATCAAAGGATTCATTGTAATTTAAATGGTAGTTCAATAAAATAAGAAACTCTGATTTTGGGACTTTGCTAGATGATAAAACTGATGTTTAAAACTTTAAACAGAAAACTGAGAAAGAAAGCTTTGGAGATTGATCTTTGCAATAACATCTACTATCTAACCTCATTTTCTCATTGACTTATTGTCATTTTTTGAAACAAGATGTTTTTGTAGCCTTTAATTTTTTATAAAGTTAACTACCCTTCTTATTTTAGAACAGGAAGATGTGGAAAAAATGCCAGCAACAATAGCTGGCAAACATTTTAGAATTTTATAAGGTGTTAAAAAAATCTTTGGGAAAGTTTTTCTTGGCAGATGGGTGACTATAAAGCACTCCAGCATGTTTATTTAAAGACAGAATATGTTCATAAACCAGCTGCTCAAAACTGAAACATTTAGTGCTCCTTGGGTATATCAGTTTTCCCAGGTGAACCAAAACTTCAAAAGCTAAAGGAACTTTATATTAATATATTAAAAAATATTTAAGCAAGACTTTGCTTTTATATTTATCCTTACCTGCGAGCGTGCTGTCTTCGTCCTGTACCGACATCTTTGTTTATGCAAGAGATAAATAAACAAAAAAAATTGTGAATCTTCTCAATCCAACAGAAATAAAGCCTGTCTTCAAGCAGCCTTAAACAAGCAGCCAGTTTATATTGAAACTACCAGGCGGTATTCCTGACTTAACCCTCCCCCACAGCCAAAATACAAAAATGAGGAACTTAAGCCTAACTTGCAAAAATGTATCTAAAAAAAGTTAAACTTTTGTGAAATATGTGCATAAAATTCTCTGCCAATGTAATAAATATATTTCAACCTAAACTAAGACAATTATATAAAATTGCTTTTACTGCTTTTGAGTTCAAATCTCTTATTCCATTAGCAGATGATTTAACGTTCCTATTCAAGGCATGTGCAAACATACTTATTTCATGAAAATCTTACCGTTTAGTCCACTAGTCATATTTTTAATTGAGTAATTGGATTTTTACTCTTTTTTTTTTTTGCATAGTCTGTTGCAATTACCACCAGTTTCAGAAAGTAGAAAAAGAAAGCTGTAGCTGCTTGGTGCATTAGACCTCTTAGGGACGGTTCTGTCTCCCTGCCGCAGGATCAGTGTCACTCAAGCAGCCGGAGCAAAGCAAAGGCCGCTTTCACTGCTCTATTAGCATCCGCACCGGAGTTCATGACCTGTGAAGCATGAGGCACCCATCATAGGAGCCATATTTTTGGATGAGAAGTCAGCAGATGACAAGAACTGGTGGCACCGATGATGCTGATGACACACATTCCTGCGCTGTGAATAATTTAAATGCTTCAAATTCCTGATCCCTCGCTCCTGTTTTATTTATTTCACTGCCCTGCAGGAGTTGATTTCTAATAGCATCAACAGTCCAGGTTAAGTACCGTTTGCTGTAAATTTACCTAATATGATGTAGCTTGGTTATTGCTGTCGATGAGTCTAATGTATCTGTCTGGATGGAGATTAGAACACTAAAGAATGGCATTTATAAGTGGGTTCTTTTTGGAAGACAAATTTAAGAGTTGATCATCAAAAATATTTTGTTTCATTTTGTTCAAATTGTTAATTAAATATATATATCAAATATATAATATAATTAATCTAATAAATTGGACACATAATTCTTCATAACAGGACCAACTCGATAAATGATATAATTTTTTTTTACTGCAATTAATCATACTTGTTTTAGTTATTTTTATTTATTTTTTCTAGAAATAGATCCCTAACACACCTTAGACACAGATTTCTAGCTGCAAAAAAAGAAAGAAAAAAAAACATCAGTTCTTAGAATGAACAAACTGATCATTTTGGAGTATTCTATAAGAAAAAGATAAAAATGTTATACCCCTAACCACATAATAACCTTTTAAAGTCTGACCTGGTATTTCATTTTCAAATGCCAATCACAACCTAAAAATGTTGTTATATTTCCATGTCCTAAACAGATCTTTTCTAGCTGTTTCTTTTCTTAAAAGGTAATATGTAACCATTAATCTGTTGCACCTTTATTTCCGTTGTGCAGCTGTTTGTATTTACATTAGTGAAGCTATTAATCTGTAATTACTTTCATATGTAATGCATGGTTGTGTCATTAACAAATGCCTTACACCATAAATTCCTCATTAATACTGAAAAGCTACACTGGAAGAAATCGAAATCTAAATAAGTCATTTTTTTCTTAAAATAAAGGCATTTGTTGTGAATTATTATTGGTAAGTGAGACACCTTGCCAATGGAACAAGACAGTTTACATTTAAAATTAGAAAAAACAACAGTGTTGTCTTATTTCAAGTACATTTTATCTAATTATCTTAATTTAAGAGTAAAAATTCTCCTTCCAGTGGCAAATCCTGTATTTACCCACTTTAAGAAATATTGACTTTTTCTAGATTGTTTTTGAGTTAACTTTTTTAACCTTACCTTAATGCTAAGTTTGATGCTAACTTCCTAGCTAACTTCATGTTAAAAACCACCAAATGAATGCCAAAGGTACAACAACAACAAAAAAACACAAATATAGGCTACATTTTATACATTCAGACGTTTTTATTTTTTGTTTTGTTGTCGTTTGCCCCTGTTTGTTTGAGCTTCTTGCCTAACAGGACAAACAGACATTAGAGTAACTTTGTCCGTATCCAGGCCAGCATTAACCCCATGCATGTACCTACTTATTGTGTGTTAAATCTTATATACTGCCTCAATATTATCAGTACAATTTGTCAATGAACTCTTGTGTATTGTTATTGATATGTTCTTCATCATAATGAACCATTATGAGAACAAACATGTTATTATCTTGTTTTTAGTGGGGAGTGGCGGCCTAGTGGTTAGGGCATAGTGCTAGGAATCCAGAGGTTCTGGGTTCAAGCCCCACTCCCACACACTCCCACCCTGGGTCCCTGAGCAAAGACCCTTAACCCCCCATGGCAATGAGGTAAATTTCTCCAATGTGAGATCAATAAAGCTCAATTATTATTATGTTTCTGAGTTAAAATGGAACCTCTATATTGTGCTTATATATGTTTCACTGCACATGAAAAGTTTTTTGTATTTTTTATCTTGGCCAAAATCAATTAACACAGATATTTTTCTTTTATCTTAGAGCTGACAAAGAAAGATCTTACACATTAAACCGACTTCCCCAGTAAAGCTTCAATAAAAAGAGATGTCCTCATTTAAATTCCAATAAAGACACTGCTGGGGGACAGGGCTTTTTTTTATTTTCAGAAATATTTGAAATAATCACATGACCTCATTCAAATTTCTTTCTTTTCATGCCCAGGGTTCACGAGGATGTCCTGCATTGTGGAAGGATGAAAAGCGTTGTCGTGATGTGACGTCCTTGTGATTTAATGGCTCTTTTCTTCCTTCTTGTGCTGCACGCAGTTTTCCTGGGCTCCACCTGAGCACCAGGACCTCATGTAGCCCACCGTCATCACCTTTACTCATGACTCTTCAGCATCTTAATAAAGCCTCACAAAGGGAGGTCACACTGAATTAGCAGCTGTCTAGAATAGAAGAATAATATAAGAAGTTTTTTTCAGTGTTTTTTGGTTATTCTGGTTGAATTAAAAAGGTTTATTTGTGAGTCACGTCGACTGATTGGAGTTTAGTCTGTAGATTTTAGTCCATCCAATACTTTTTTTTTTACGTAAGCATATAAATTGGTATTATTTTCCTTTATTATTGTTTTCTTAATAAGCTGAAAACTTCCCTTTAAGTGATGTTACAGACAAGGATTAAGAATGGACAAAGATAAAGAACATATAAAGAATTCAAATAGGTAAGATATTCTACCAACTTTTGTCAAATCTGGTTTTAGAAATATACAAATATCTTTACACTGATTAAGTCAAACACTACCTTTTATATTGACCCCACAACCTATTCAGTCATGTTAAGAACAACAGGAACCTCCAGAAAATGATTCAGAAAACCTAAAAAGTATTAGAAAGTTTAAGTGCCACACTCAAAATACACCGACATTTGGCCAGGGGCTTAAAACTGCATAATAATGTTTATAGCATATATGGAAAATAGCAGTTTAAGCTAATTTTTTACAAACTGCGTTAAAACCCCAAAATACATTGACATGAAATAGTTGCATTACTTCTGTTGGTAATATTTCCCACCTGTTTGATGGAAAGGCAACAACTTTTTACCCTAGCATTAGCTTAATTTGACATCTAATAAGGTATTTTTCAGGTCAATAGATCACCTGTTGCTCTGCGAGGGCTGCTTTTCTCAAAAACTCAACTAAACCCTTTTTTTGTCCTAAAATGTACCCTAAACCGACCGGACATATTTGTGGTTCACTGATATAGGATTTAATCATGTGCGGCTCTAGATAGGGGCCCCTATAGAACCGGTCCTGTCCCCTCTTATGGCCCCTTTAAAGAAGACATCATTATTATGATAGTCTGCTCTGAAACCATTAGTGATTATTCTATAGAATCAATTATACACTGGAAAAAGGATCTAAAAATAAGTAGAAATGTCTTAAATTAAGTGTATTTACGCTTAATTTGAGTACGGTAGGTAAATGACATAGTTTGCCAATGGAATGAGTATTTTTGCTCTTAAAATAAGAAAATTAGATAAATTGCACCTGAAATAAGACAATGCAATTGTGTTTTCTTATTGTAAGTGTAAATTGTTTTGTTCCATTGGCAAAATCTCTCTTTTACCTACTAAATCCAAGAACAAATACACTTATTTTAAGAAAAAACAACTTATCTATGATTTTTACAGATTAAGAAACATTGGTTAAAAAAGTGATGCTGTTACCCTTTAGCAGCTGGATCGAGAGTGGACCACAGGTTTCATCTGTTAGATCGGGGTTCAGCAACCTGTTTCTCTGATTCACTCAAAATATCAAAAGATGAAATACTGCCCTGTTTTTTTTTTGTTTGTTTGTTTTGTTCGTTTCAATTACCTTGTCTGTACCCCAACTGAAAAAAAAAAAAAAAAAGTTACACAGTGTTGCTTTAAATAAAAAAGGAATGATTTTTTTTATATAAAGTACTTTCTTCTTTACGGTACATCTTTCATGAATTCCGTAAAAATTCAAAAAATATCCACTGGACTTGGTTTTCAAGATTTGAAGACGTTTCGCCACCTCTCCAGGAAGCTTTCTCAATTCAAATGTCTGGATCCGCAGTGAGTTTGAGTCTTATGGAGAGGTGGTGAAACGTCTTCAAATCTTGAAAACCAAGTCCAGTGGATATTTTTTGAATTTTTACGGAATGACTTTGACCTGGATGACTGAGAACCTTCATCAGCATCTTTCATGAAGCGTTTCCATTAAAAATAGCTTTTAAGTGTGAATCATGCATAGTTTTAAGAGTTATAACAATTTTAATATAAAAAAAAAAAATTGACTATTTTATTTAAGAAAACCCTTAAATAATATCCATATCAACAGATTATTTGGTCTATAGAGTAAACCTGTGCATAATTTAACTTCTGTACAAATCCATCTGTTGTGGAAAGGTCTCAGATGGTTGGTAGAGTATTTTAGTGAACAAACACTACGAGGAACAAGAAACACAGAAAGGTTGGACATAAAGCTCTAGGCCATATGGCAAGGTTAGGTTAGAAAGCAAAATCCAAAATGTTTAATGTTTCCAAGAGCTCCATTAGTCAT